TTTTTTTTTTTGTATATATTGTTCATTGTTTAAAACTTATAGTTAGGTACTCATTACATTACTATTATTATGATAATTTAATATAACAAAATTATGTGATAATTTATAAGACAAAAAGTATTTTAATTAATGATTTGTAAGTGTTCATTTATTTGTACTAATTGATTACTGTAGTTACTGCATTTTCTACAAATAGTGGTATATTATGATATTTATGATACTGCATTTAATATTTGTAACGCCAAATGATATTATGTAGATAATGCTAAAGTAAAAGGCAGTAACTGTGTTATTATGTGAAAAATTTCAGGAATAATGTATTAATCACAAAATGTATAACATTTTTGAATTTCTGACATAAATTTCCATCTGTTTCAGTCATAAGGTATACTTACAGCCTTAAACTAATTACAAAAGTAATATAAATACAAAAGTTCATTTTCCCGAAAACTTGATTTTTGTAGTTACTGCCTTTCCCGTTAGCAGGGCAGAGCACAAGTAGTTACAATTTTATTAGTTAGTTATAAATAGATTTTATGGCTTGGTTGAACGATAACATTTTCTTTATATATTTTTTGTTTACACAGTAATTACAATAAATATATCCAACAGGTTCGATTAACTACATCTTTTATATGTTTTTTTGTTACAGGTTATTATCCTGCACCTGATGCCCAATACAAAAGAACATATACAGCTACTCGTTAGTAGTAAATAGAGCTTATGGCTTGTTTGAAAAATAAAATTTGCTTAGTATATTTTTTTATTCACACAACAATTGACGTTAAGTTGGGGAGACTTAATTTTAGGGTTCTAGAATGGAGTAGTAATTTAACACCATTTTAAACAAAGGACCTAATAAGAATTGAGTGATTACAGAATACATTTTTGCCTATATCGCTTTTTTACTAAACATACTGCATCCTCTCACGACTACATCACTGTCCACACTTTTCATAACATAGATTTATTACCTTGGCTGATAATCGGACCAACGCTAATCTCTATTATATTTGTTCAGACCTTCTAGGCTCAATCGATGCTTCTGATATTCTAATTACCATAAATTTTTTCGTTCCTTCCCACTCTGTTTGTACTTATTAAGACATTAAATTTTAAAATAAATACGAATATATTAATAAATATTATATTTTGAAACCAGTCATTCATGTTTACATTTATGCAGGTTCTCAAACTTCACGACTGAAAGAACTTGGAAAGGCGAGAAGAGATATTACTGGAAATGTTATAATAAATGTACTTACCCAAAAACTAGGTGAATATAAATATTGAGTATTGATGTTATTTATTTTTTAACAACATATATTTTTTATAGCATGAATCATTATTGATAACCGCATAGTTTATAGGCTACTTAACACGACCAATATTTGTTAACTTATTAAAAATTTGTGGTTTTTCTTTTTTGAGACACTTTAGTTTTTGTTATTTTATAATATTTACTAACATACATAATATTTAATATAACATTTAAATGTTTTTGAAGAGCTCTAATAACTAGAATAATTTGCTTAAAGTTACGAGTCGAGAACTAGTTTTGGATAATTAGTTTATAATTAATTTTTGTTCCCTTCCGTTATGTTAATAACTTTAAAAAGAACTATTCCTAAAGAGTTATCGACCACTCAAAATGATCTTAAACGGAAAATTACCCTATTTGTATTCATAATTATTTCAATTATTTTGATTACTGTGGTCGCTTTTTCCCGTTTCTCGACTTTTCCATGAATTTTCACCTCGTTTTTTGGGTTTTCTAAGCGTGTTTAGGGGTCCCCGTATGAATTTTAGATATTTTATGTAACATTTTTCAGCTTTCTAAAAAAAATTCTAAAATTTTGGTCAACTCAAAAAAAAAACAAATTTTTAAATTATAAACTCATTTTTAATGACTCTATTACTAAAAATAAAAAAAAATAAAATACACAATTTTTTTCAGGAAGCTGACATTTTTTCTATGATACATATTATATAAATAATTGTATAACTTGTATTAATTACATTTAGTATTTGAAGGGGTCAATGGATAAAGGTATTAACTAACATTTTTTTCGAAAATGCATTTTATTGCATGAATAAAAGGGTTATAGTGTCATAGTATAGTATAGAGTATCTCTAGACCGATAGTTTTCCTCTTATAAGTTATTTCATTTATTGAATATACAAAAGTTTCATAGCTTTCGTTTAATATTTAGTTACAAAAGTCGCGTTCATGAACAATTTCAAAAATGTCAGTTAACACCTTTATCCACTGAACCCTTCAATTGTGTCTTGCACAAAAAGGAAAAATGATGGCTGACAAGTTAAATATGTCAATTTTTAACAACTGTTTTTTTATTTTTTAGATGAGTTTATCTCGGGTGGCCAGAAGTATCCTGTTCAAAATATTTGTGTTTTGATTGGAATATGGGTTAGTCTAAAAATGACTTCAAACACGTCTCATTTAAACACTGGTGATGTTTGTGAAGTACAATTACTATTAGGGGATAAAGTTAGTAATATTGTAAAATACAGACCATTTAAATGCATATATCACCAAGTAAAAGCAAAGGACATTGATGGTCGAATGGAAACACTAACCGCACAACTACGAGATAATTTAAGTATTCCACTTAAGTTTAAATAATAAATAAATACATTTTTCCCATTGCACTAACTTATTTTATATTGCATGTATTTATTTATTGTTATTGTTATGTGGTATTGTTGTTTAATTATTATTATTATCTTTATAATCATCAGCTGTTTGTCATATGCAAAATAAAATAAATAAATTCTAAAATAAACTCACGATTTGAAACATATTTGTTGTGGTTTATTATTATTATTATTGCGTACCTATGGTTTTATTTTTACCGAAAGTAGACTATTCATGACCTAGATTTGTTACCTAAGAGGGAGAGGATAGTAAGCTCTCGCCAGACTGTACAGGGTAATTAATTAAGGATAAGACACTCATTTTCTCGGAAGATATAAATATTTTAAACAATATTTGTTTCCAATACTTTTAGGTACATATTGTACTAAATTTTTACATCCCTTATTCGTAAAAAAATATATAAATGTGTTATTTTTAAATGGAAACACCTATATTTAATTCCATATATTAGTATGGAAAAAATAAAATAAAATATTAGCGTTTGAATTTTTCATTTTCATTTATCAGTTCGTTTGCTATGACTTAGTTAAAATATTATATTTCTCTTAATTAATGCCTTATTTCTGAGGTGTATCGAAAACCAGTAGCACGTACAACCAATATTTATGCTCGTATTATCCGATAACCGTCAAAAACCAGACGGCAGATAAGCAGTTTTAATCTAACTATTCAAACATACTGGGGGATGAAACGGTTGACCATAAATAAACTGGTATCAAATCTGTGGCATAGTGATTTAACCACAGCGACCATAACCGTGGTACTCACGCAACAGCCTTATAACATATATTTTTGACAATTTTTTTTTTTTTTATAAACACATTGCCGAATTATTACAGATTGTAGCTGTAGCCGCCAATGATTGTGCATAATTGTTATCACAGATTTTATTAGTTCAACTATGTGAAAATTAAGTCAACAATACGATTTTTCAACACAAAAAATAAAAGTTTATTTATTCATTTTTGTAATTAATGCTCAAAATGTTGTCAATTCGTATCCAAACAAAGTGATAACCATTTTTTTATTTCATCAGTTGTTACCTTTTTCAAAATCGTGTCCGGTACATATGAGCATATATGTTTTATTCTATTTTTAAAGTGTCTACATCAACTATGGGGGTTTTATAAACCTCGTTCTTTAGGAAGCCCCAAAAATAAAAATCCATGACTGTTAAATCAGGTGATCTGGTATACCTTCGCTCTTCGTACCCATCCATCGACTACCAAATGTATTAGATAAGTAGTTTTGCACAGTTTTCGCACTATGGGCTGGAGCTCCGTCCTGTTGCCAAAATATATTTAGCCGCTTCTAGCGGTAAATTTTCCAAAAGTGATGGTAAATCATTTTTCAAAAGCTCTAGATATTTCCTAGCATTAAGACTACCTTGATAAAAATAAGGATCAATTATATGACAGTCAATGATGTCACACCACACAATTGACACTTCAACGCACTTGAGTTTTATTTTGCGAAATACAGTGAGGGTTCGTATCGCTCCAGAAATGTCTGTTGTGTGAATTAACAGTACCATTATTATAAAACTTCGCCTCATCGGTCCACAATATATTTAACAAAAATGACGGTTCTTCTTTCAATTTAATAATTATTTTGACAACATACTCAAGACGACGTTCAAAATCACTAAACCGCAAGTGCTGAACAGAAGTGTATCTATAAGCAAGAAACTTATTTTGTTTCGCTATACGCTGTACAGATGAGTAATTTATCCCCTAACATTTCCTTAATGAAAATATTAAATCACTGATGTTTCACTTTTCATATATATTTTTTAGTAGGTAACTGAAACGGCTCTCAGTGATATTGTAGGCTGTCCACTAAGGGCAGCTAATACTGCTATTCGTATTGTCAACATTAGTTTGACTTTTTTGTCTATTTACATTTGGCAAAATAAAACTACCCGCAAATACCAAGTTACTGTGAAGTCGCGCAAACATGGAGTGATGTGGATATGGCCGATCCTATGAGTTATCAAGTGGTCTATGATAAAAAAATCACCCTGTATGTATACATATTTGTAGTATTGTCATTATCGCAGAAACCTACAATATCAAATAACATGTTTATAAAAAAATGTAATGAAACTAAATGAAACATACCTATTACTCCCCATGTCCGTATGCCCCACCGCCTCAACGATTGCTTTTGTTTTTGTAATTTCAATAACTGGTGACTAAAAATTTAAACTCGGCTTCCGAACAATGTAAATATGTTAGTCAAAACGGAAAATAAATATGTTGCTTATGTTAATAGTATTCGCAAAAACCATTATTCTGAAAAACATATTTACATTGCATTGTTTCGGTCGACATAACAGATTCTATTCGACAACTGTAAAAAAACCTTTGAAGCAGTCGGTTTAACTAACATTGAATTTGTTTAAGTAAGTAATATTATCAAAACTTCAAAAACTAATAGTACACTTACGATATATTTCTCTGATTTTCATATTTTTTCAGCACATAGACCTTCGATAACATTTAATCCACTAGTCCTATTTCACTATACACCAAGGTCATAAGTAAGTAATATAATCAAAATTTTATTTTAAATAAATTTTCATATCAAATACCAATTATAAAAAATTAAATCATGCGGAGGAGCGTAGAAACATTAAAATTTAGATTTGAGGTTATTTGAGTATAGGGGCATGGCTGAAGACATTCTTTACAATTTTGACTCGATTCAACAGTTTTAGTTATAGAAAGTTGAAAAACTGACAACTTTTTTTTATAGTTGTTTTCCGTTTTTGTGGTGAAGAAGTTGACTTTTTCTACTTTTGACTCACCAAAGTCACCAAATCACATATAATTTCGGATATCTAACGTAAATCGGGCCATAGTAAAACATAGTATTGTGTTAGCAGATACAAAAAACACACATCATAGGAATTCTACTAGCTCGGCATCGATGCTAAAAAAACAGCTTTGTAAATAAACTAACAACGCTGCAAAATATGTTTTTATTTTACTGTATTGCCGAAATATGGACAACCAAAATGTAGGTAGAAGTAGAACGTAGTCGTAATTTAAAATTTAAAAAAAACATTGTTCGTAGTTTTTTCTTGTATTGTTTATGATAAAAGTTTTTTATTTATACCGTACATACTTTAAATAAACATTATACCGGGTGATCCATCTTATGTAAGACACATATTGTACACACTGTATCACTTAGTTCACATGGGTGCTTGTGATTTATTGTTCGTAATCACATAAAAACATGTTGATGCGAAGTTGGCTTAACTATATATACATACAAGTTAGCTAATGTTTATTCTATACAGATTTTTTTTTATCAGTGCATGAGGAAATGTGGAGTGTAGAATTTTTTTAACTCCCCGAATTTCCCCCAACCCTCCTGTTTTTCCACCCTGTTTTCTAAACTTTCATCACTTTAAAAATACTTGTCCAAAACTGGTTATCAACCAATCAAAATTTTTGAACGTTTTCTAAATTTAAAAAGCTTATGGAATATATGCGTTACCATTTAAGTTTAAAAAGCCGCTTTAAAGAAAACTTAGTAAGGATGAGGTCGAAACAAAAAAATTGTGAAAAATTGAGATAAGGTACAATGTATAAAAATGACATAAAAAAAAAATGTAATTTCTTATATAAACCTATGAGACATTGAGTGGCCTATGATAAAAAAAACACCCTGTATGTATACATATTTGTAGTATTGTTATTATCGGAGTAACCTATAAAAACAAATACCATGTTTATAAGAAAAATGTGTTGAAAATATAGTGATTCATACCTAATAATATTCTCCGTTTCTGATATGTTCCACCGCTTCAACGATGGCTTTTGTTTTTGTAAATTCAATAACTGGTTAGTAAAACGTTTAAATTACGCTTAGGAACAATGGAAATATGTTAGTCAAAACGACCGAATGTTGCGTATATTACTAAATTCACAAAAACATATTTACATTGCATTGTATTGGTCGACATCATATAGGCAATTCGATATACCTAAAGTAAATCGGGCCATAGTAAAACATGTTATGGTGTTTTCAGATCAAAAAAACACACATAATAGGAATACTAGCTCATCACTGATGCTAAAAAACCGCTTTGTAAATAAAATAACAACGTTACGCTATACAATGGTTATACTGTATTGCAGAAATATGGACAAACATAATGCACATCCATGATGAAAAATTGTATTTAAAATTTTTGATTCTGTATCTTCAAAATACAACTCATGTTCAAGTTATTTTTCATCATGTGCTTTTAATTAGTCATAAAATATAATATATATATATATAGTTAATTATCTAAGGACTTTCTCGTCCAAAACATTGCAGAGCGTCGAAGGTATAGGTTTTACTCTGATGTGGGCTTTTTTTTTATCTTTATACACTGTAACTTTTTTAATACTGAACCAATTCCTTCGAGTAGCAACTCTATAAATCACAAATTTCATCTAGTTGGTACTTTGTTGGGGGGGGGGGTTAAGGTTAAAAAAGTTTACTTCTTCAGATTCGAAATTTGGAGAGAAAAAAACCGTACGAGTTTTTAAGTTAGAACTTTTTCTGGCTATAATTTCGAGAATACGAGTCGGATCGAATTGAAATGTATAAGGGATATTTTTTTGGTATGCTCGCACACGTCACTTGTATCAATATTAAATTAAATCCGTTTCCCAACCCCCTAGAAGGGGTTCAACTTTTTTTGTTTTTTTAGTTTTTTAGCCGTAATTTTAGGACCTTTTAGTTGAAAATTTGTCAGTAGTTAGAACTCATATGTATTCATAACATATTAAATGGAAAACAAATTCGGCACTACAGTTTTTTTTTTAATTGCCGGAAAACTGTGTTTTTGCAAATCGCGTATATTTTAACAAAACGCCTAAAATCTTAAAAAAAAAACCAGTACACTGGGGTCGGGGCATAGTAGGAACGGAGAGGTCACAGTTTTACAGAAATATTTAAATCTGAAATTGATAAAATCACTTTCAAAAAAACGCTTCGATGCAAATAAGTAGTTAGTATTTTCAAGCCTGTACAGTCCAAACCAAGCACAGTATAAACCAGCAAAGTTAGATAGTGATAAATTGAGTTGCAGTATTTACAAATAAGCATAAAAGCGTTTTTTTGAAAGTGATTTTATCCGAGAGGGCTATTACAGTAGAGTATAGGCATAATGAAATCAATGCAACGAGGAGGCGAAAGGTCACCGATCTACATGATTATTATAAAGAAAAGTGATAAAATTAAATAAAATCACTTACCAAATAAACGCATTGATGCTTATTTGTAAATACAGCACCTCAATTTAATACTTTCTAACTTTGTTGTTTATACTGTGCTTGGTTTGGACTGTACTGGCTTGAAAATACTAACTACCAATTTGCATCGATACGTTATTTCGAAAGTGATTCTATCACTTTCAGATTTAAAAATTTCTGTAAAACTGTGACCCATTATGCCTCGACCCCTTTGTACTGTTTTTTATAAATACATCTAACTGACTATAGGTGGAATCTGTATTTTTTATGAATCAACCTCTAACTAACACCGTCCCAAAATACACCCGATTCAACTACACTATACATTTAAAAAAAATTCCATTCAAGTAATTGAAATTAACTTGAATTATCCTAAGATTTATTTTTCCAGATAAAAATGAAAATTTCCTGTATTTTGATATCATTAATCTGCGTTAATGTCATAATGATGGCAAATATAGGTATATGTAAGTATTTTATTTTCATACTTACCTACACAAGGTAGATAAAATTCTAAGAAAAAATAATAATTAGCTTTTCTTTACAGTGAACTATATAGAGTTAGTTGAAATTTCAAGTAAGTAATATTTTATAATTATACTGAATAACTTTGTTATTTCTTAAATTTTGCGAATTTCATCCATAACTATTTTTTAAAAACATTTACTACAGACGCGCAACTCCAAAAAGCTAAAGTCGCTAACGGAAGTAAGAAACATTTTAATATACTATTATAAAATTGTTGTGCAATAATTGCTTAAGTGTCAAATTATTTGTAAATTAAATATAAATTTATTTACATGTTTAAGCGGACGACGCACATGCATTCTTACTGTATAAAAATATGAGTTTGCTCTCATGGTACAGTGTTTCCATAAAAATGACTTAAAAAAAAAGTTACCTTTAACACCTGAAATTTATGAACTTTGACTTTGTTATGTTAAAATGTTGTAAATAATTTCCAACACTCAACTTCTTAAAACATGAGCGGAGTGCCATCTTCTTAAAGTGGTAGTTTAATATTCTCGATTGAGTCTGTGCACTATCGCACATGGCCACAAGCCTTCACTAAAAGTTACTATAAAATACCATGAGCAAACCTGATTCTAAAAAATGACTATTTACCCCAACAGGGGTAGTCGGTAACGTATGGTGTATTTTTATTAATGATTTTTATGTTCATTTTGATTTTAATTAAAACTTTTCTATTGGTCAAACCTTTATTTGTTTGTTCTAGAGGGATTGGAGAATGTACTTACAAACATGATAGATGTAGAACACTATAATATGAGTAATAATAATTATGTGATAACAAAAAAAAATCTTAGTTTTAGAAAAAATGTATTTAAAAAATACAAAAATGTATCTTTAACCCTTTCATCGCCATTGTGTTTTATACACTGCAACACATCCCAAGCATCGACATCCTGGAAAAAGGTTTCATAGTTATTTAGTTGATTAAAGCATAAAAGCAAGTCCAGGATATTAAAATAGTTAACGCTAATGTTCAGTGATAATAATCTTATTTTACTTTGTTCTACTTCCCCATATTATTAAATTCAGCCGTTGTCATATCTTTAGGTTTCAAATGAATTTAATATAATAGAGCTAAGTATTTTGTTCCCAATAACAAATACAAATATTTTTTTTTTTTAACTTTTCTACTTAGTTTTTGATATAATAGAAAATTAAATTCACTACGATTTATTTTTGTATTGCTAATTTCAGAGAATTATAATCAAATGTTCACTGTGCCGGGTAATAATTCCATAAATATATTATAATATTACCACGCAGTCTTTTGATAACCATTATGTATACAACGTTAACGCTATAATTTCAGAACTTGCAGAAACTCACAACTATAACCTTCTACAAAGTAATCAATTCTTACTTCTATGTATTTCAAATTCAATATTTATAATGCTTCACAAAGAATTACATTTACTATATTAGTTTTTAATACACGAAAATATGTACATAATATATGTTTATATTTTTGTTAAATTTAGAAGCCATAATGACAGAAAAATATGATTTGCAACCGAAAATATTCGATATTATAGGTGAATATTTTTAGTAAACAATTTATTAAGCGTGAAAGCAAACAATCTACAAAAATATTAGATTAGTACATTTATTGGTATTTCAAACAAATTTTACACAATTTTAATGTACACGGTTGGGTCATTTAGGTTCATCAAGGAATAATAGTTCACAAGAACTTTTGTGAAAGACAGAATTAATACACATAAAAAAACTAGATTATTATACAATTAATTATGAAGAATGCATTTTTCCAAACGTTGCAACTTGATAGAGATTAATTTTATGTTAATAAAAAGTTTTGCGTTAATTAATTGGTCAAAGTTATTTTATTTTTTGAGTAACTGTTATGGATAAATATAACAACTTGGTTTAAGTAGCTGTAATATTGTTTAAATTCTTGTTTCAGGAAACGCTGTTGATGAACCTAAAAGTAAATACGAAGTTATTCAATAGTTAATTAATATTAACGCTATATTTGAAATTGATTAATTGAAACTGTTATGGATAAATACAGCAAACCGAGTTTGAATAACTAAATTATTTTTTAAAATTGTTTTTACAGGTATTCCGGTGGCTGATGAGAGTAACCAAAGTAATTACAAAGTTATTCATTAGATTTGGAAAAAAAACTTATGATTTTATTGAACAATCAAATGCTCTTTATACATTATTTTGTTATCAATTTTTAACATTTTACCACAAAAAACAAATTTTTACGTAATAGATTGTTCACTTTTTATGTTAACAAATACTTATGACCTGACAGATAAAATAGGTTACTAGTTTTTGTTGTTTGATATGTTTTTGAAGAGACGGTTGAATCATATCATATATGTATATATATAAAATATAGACGACATTTGGTGTCAGTCAATCGTTTTTTTTTTTTTGTTAAATTCCCGAACTTATTAGACATTTAAATAATTTTAATTTACTTTGAATAGACAGTATCTTCTGTATGTGAAATATAGAATTTTCTTAGTCGCCCATTTGTTATATAATAGTATGAGAGATAACACAAAACATAAAATGAATAAGAAAATAGTGTTATTACTATCACATTTTCCTTTGGTCGCAACCATCGTATTCATAGCAAATTGCACAGTGCCAATTTTCTTGTATATACTTATTTTTAGCTCAAGTTATTTTTATTGTAATTTTCTGTTTTGTATAATGTTACATATCATACATTTTCTATCTTTGTATTATACTTCTTATTATACTGTGTATTTTTTTTCATATATTGTACTTTTTATGCGTTATTTGTGTAATAAATGCGTATAAAGACTTTTAATATCAAAATAAAACATAAATACGAATATAATTTTAAATATGATATTTTTAACAAGCTTATATATAATTTTATGAAGGTAAAGAAACTTCAAAATGCCTCAAACTTGGCGAAACGGCGAAAAATATTGTTACTAAAAGTTTTAAAATGATAGGTAAATATAAATTTACAATTTTAAAGATGTTACTTTTTATTACAGCATGGTTCTATATGGATAACACAATCAATTTTTTTTTAATTATATTGATAGCTTGTGGTTTTTTTGTCATAGATACTTTAATTTTTTATTTTATAGTATTACACATACATTTAAATTTGTTTCTAGAGTGGTGGGGGGGGGCAATAGCGGCTCTATATTTATACTTTATTCAGCATTGATTAATTGAAACTGTTATAAAAAAATACCAAAATAATAAATACAAACCGGTTTGATTACCTATATAAATGAATTGTTTTTTTGTTACAGGTCGTGCTCCGCATGATAATGAAAAGCAAAGTAAATACAATGTTATTCGTTAGTAGTAATTAAAACTTATTGCATGTTTAAAAGATAAAATTGTATTTATGTATTTTTTTACAAATACAATAATTAAAAACATAGGTAACAATTATTTGTTGTCAAGACGTTTTAAGTTTACGTATATTCATGACTTGATAGACAAAATCCATACTTGACTCATATTATTAGTAACGTTTCATTAACCGTTTTACTCTACATCAATTGTCATAGGGAAACCCGCTCGCTTGAATAACATCTTAAGCATTTACAAAGTTTTATTTATTCGGGGAGACTTAATGACATATATCGACAATTATAATATTAAGGTAATATTTTGAATGATGTACATCAACTTTTACCATTTCACTACAAAATAAAGTTATAATTTATAAACATAACAATTATTATTGTCAAGACGTTTAAGTTTAAGAATACTTGTAACTTGGCAGATACAATTCTATACTTGCTTCTCATAGCATTAGTAACCCACTCGCTTAAATTACATCTTTTATTTTCAAAAGATCACAAGGAACTAAAGCGCACGGTTCGGTTTCTTTTACTATTTTCTCAGGCATCCCCAACGGGGGCCATGGTTGTCCTCTATATTTTCTTTATCTCATTAAAGGGAATTTGGCAAAAATAAGAAGTTCCTTTTGTTTTTCATAAGACTTTAACATTTACTAGTGTTACCTTTTATGTGGACGGTTGCCTCCTACATACTGAACCTATTTTTTTCTTTTAATTGGTTCATCCCCAGGTTCTCTCATTGTATGTTGAAAAATGTCATACATTTTCAACATTTTCAAGGAACCGTAATCCGCTACTGCACGATTACATTCTTCATGGTATTCCATTCCAACGAGTTTTAATATTAAAGAAAACCGTTTTATTTTTAACATCTTATGCGGTAGCTAAAAGGGTCTTGAAAGACATGGGTTTTATGTTAATACTATATTTTGCATTTATTAATAATTGTTCATTTTATTCTCATTTTTATCACTGTTATGGATATATATATCAAATAGGTTCGACTAACTGTATAATTAATTTGTTTTTTTTTGTTACAGGTTATTATCCTGAACCTGATGACAAATTCAGAAGAACTTACATAGCTTACGCAGCTACTCGTTAGTAGTAAATAGAGCTTATGGCTTGTTTGAAAAATAAAATTTGCTTTGTATATTTTTTTATTCACACAACAATTGACGTTAAGTTGGGGAGACTTATTTTTAGGGTTCTAGAATGGAGTAGTAATTTAACACTATTTTAAAAAAAGGACTAGATAAGAATTGAGCGAAAACAGAATACATTTTTGCCTATATCGCTTTTGTACTAAAAATACTGCATCCTCTCACGACTACGTCGCTGTCCGCACTTTTCATATCATAGCTTTTTACCTTGGTTGATCATCGGACAAACGCTCTATTCTATTTTATTTGTTCACCCATTTAAGGCTCCATTAATGCTCCTTATATTCTAATTACCATATATTGTTTCGTTCTTTCCCAGTCTGTTTGTACTTATTTGGACATTAAATTTTAAAATTAATTCGAATATATTAATAATTATTATATTTTTAAACGAGTTATTCATATATACATTTATACAGGTTCTCAAACTTCACGATTGAAAGAACTTGGAAAGGCGAGAAGAGATATTACTGGAAACGCTATAATAAATGTACTTACCCAAAAACTAGGTGATTACAAATATTCAGTGTACAGTGAATTATTCGTTTTACAGTGTTATGGATAACACAGTATTTTTTAGGCTATTAACACAAACAATGCTTTTTAACTAATTAAAAATGTGTGATTTTTTTTTCGAGACACTTTAGTTTTTGGTATTTTATAATCTGTCTACTAACATACATAATATTTTATATAACATTTAAATTTTTTTCAATAGCTCTAACAACAAGAATAATATGATGAAAATGTTACTAGTTTTGGATAATTAGTTTTGAATTAATTTTCCCTCCCTTCCGTTATGTTTATAACTTTAAAGGGAACTATTTCCAAAGAGTTATCGATCACCCAAAATTATCTTAAACGGAAAATTACCCTCTTTGTATTCATAATTATTTCAATTATTTTGATTACGGTGGTCGCATTTTCCAGTTTTTTCGACTTTTCCATGAATTTTTACCTTGTATGAAATTTACACATTTAATGTAAAATTTTTCAGTTTTCTAAAAAAAATTCTTAAATTTCGGGCAACTAAAAAAAAAACAAATTTATAAATTATAAACTCATTTTGAATGACTCTGTTACTAAAAATAAAAAATAAAAAACATTATTTTTTCAGGAAGCTGAGATTTTTTCTATGATACATATATAAAAATAATTGTATAACTTGTATTAATTACGTTTAGTAGTTGGAGGGGTCAATGGATAAAGGTGTTAACTAACATTTTTTTCGAAAATGCATTTTATTGCATGAATAAAAGGGTTATAGTGTTATAGTATAGTCTAGAAGATCTCTAGACCGATAGTAATCATCTTATAAGTTATTTCATCTATTGAATATACAAAAGTTCCATAGCTTTCGTTTAATATTAAGTTAAAAAGTGGGGTTCCTGAACAATTTCAAAAATGTCAGTTAATACCTTTATCCACTGACCCCTTCAATTGTGTCTTGCACAAAAAGGAAACTTGATGGCTAATAAGTGAAATATGCCAATTTTTAACAACTGTTTTTTTACATTTTTTAGATGAGTTTATTTCGGGTGGCCAGAAATATCCTGTTAAAAAGATATGTGTTTTGATTGGAATATGGGTTAGTCTAAAAATGATTTCAAACACGTCCCCTACAAACAACGGTGATGTATGTGAAATAGAACTATTAGGGAATAAAAGCAAAAAATTTGTTATGTACAGACCATTGGACGGCATATATTGTCAAATAAAAGCAAACGACATTAATAGTGGAACGAAAAAACTAACTGCACAACTACGAGAGAATTTAAGTATTCCTCTTGAGTTTATATAATAAATAAATAAATTTTTCACATTGCACTAATTTATTTTATTTTGAATATATTTATTTATTGTTATTATTATGTGGTATTGTTGTTAATTTATCATTAATATTAACATTATTATCTTCATAATCATCGGATGTTTGTCATATGCAAAATAAAATAAATAAATTCTAAAATAAACTCACAGCTTTAAACATATTTGTTGTGAATTATTATTATTATTATTATTATTGCGTACCTATGGTTTTGTTTTTACCGAAAGTAGACTATTCATGACCTAGATTTGTTACCTAAGAGGGAGAGGATAGTATGCTCTTGATAGACTGTACAGGGTAATTCATTAAGGATAAGACACTCGGAAGATATAAATATTTTAAACAATATTTGTTTCCAATACTTTTAGGTACATATTGTACTAAATTTTTAAATATTTTAAATATTTTTAGGTACATCCCTTATTGGTAAAAAATATATAAATGTGTTTTTTTTTTTTTAAATGGGAACACCTATTTTTGATTCCTTATATTAGTAGGGAAAAAATAAAATAATTTATTAGCGTTTGAATTTTTCATTTTCATTTATCAGTTCGTTTGCTATGACTTAGTAAAGATATTATATTTCTCTTAATTAATGCCTTATTTCTGAGGTGTATCGAAAACCATTAGCACGTACAACACATTGCCGAATTAATACAGAGTATAGCTGTAGCCGTCAATGATTGTGCATAATTGTAATCGCAGAATTTATTAGTTCAACTATGTGAAAATTAAGTCAACAACACGATTTTTCAACACAAAAAATAAAAGTATATTTATTTAGTTTTGTAATAAATGCTTAAAATGTTGTCAATTCGTATCCAAACAAAGTGATAACCATTTTTTTATTTCATCAGTTGTTACCTTTTTCAAAATCGTGTCCGGTAAATTAAAACATGTATTTATTTTTTTTTTTTTTATATGTGTCTACATCAAATATAGGGGTTTTATGACCTCGTTCTTAAGGAAGCCACAAAAATAAAAATCCATGACTGTTAAATCAGGCGATCTTGCTGGCCATTGTATACCTTCGCTCTGTTGGAATAATAATTAATATTCTATATATCAAGAAGTATTTCACAATATATAAATATGTTGTTTATCTGTATAATAAAAATACGTAGTTGTTAACCAGGAAATGTTATAGAAAAACAAAGTTGTTTTTGTAAGCACACGTGTATGTGTAGACGCGTGCAACCTTGTGGGTTAATATAAATAGCATTTGATCTAAGGGCTCGGGGCTCAGTATTTCTATTCAGTTTATACATATTACTAGTGTATTATTGTTTCACTGTGTTGTATATATTCTATGTATAATATATCTATTATTGTAATAACATTATTTGTGTTGAATACTTGATTATCATCTTAATAAAAATATACTTATATATTTACCTATATATTTAAATGACTGGGTCATTTTTATTTTTTTATTTCTTAACATTTGACTCACGGATAATATCGAAAAACTCCTTATTTAAATGTTGTGCAGAGCGCGACACACTATTTTTTATTTTATAATATTATCACAATATTTAAATGTAACGTAGGCTCTGTTGTTTGTGTTTCAATAGTGGATCAAATGTTAACTGACACAAATGTCTGTTGGAACTAAAATATAAAAGCTATTGTGGCAAGAAGCATTAGGAGGGACAAAACTTAAAAAAAAGTCACCGAGTATGACGTGCTAAACACTGCTAAAAAAAAAAACAGTGACATAATTAGTAATTGGGATTCGGGTCAAGGATGTAGTAAACATACTGTAAGTAAACATTGAGGGTTTTTGTAGTAAATTTTCATTGATAATTCACAGATAGATTGATTAATCAATCTATCTGTGTTTATTTAATGGCCTTCGTGCAGACACTTTACCTCGCCAAAGCCAATTATGGAAAAATGAAAACAATAAATGTAAGTTCGTTAAAAATAAATTTTTTTCACTAGGTACTACCAAATACGTTTTATTAAAATAAAAACAATTTAAAAAAATAATATTGAAATACAAAAGTATGTAGAGTAGATATTCTTCTTTGAAGTTTAATTGTATACAATTAAAAAAACATTATTAGTATATTAACATATTGTGTGTACTATCTTTTTGGATACAATCAATATTTCCAGTGTAAGAAACATGGTACCTTTTGATATATATATATGATATTTTTTTTACTAAAAAAACTAAATAAACAAATAAGTGATTGACTTTGTTTCAATATGAATAAAATATTTTGAATGTAGCCGATCAGATTCATACAAATATAATACAGATTACAGCGCGATTACCTATGTACCTATGTAAATTGCTGACAACAACCAAAACGATAACTCCGATAAGACATAAAAGGGTAAAATCTTTTATATTTTTAGCGAAATAATCTTGTGTACATATTACATTAGATATATATATATATGTGACATGTGTATATTACATGTGTAAGATACATTGTCAAGTTAAGACTCAAGTTAGAAAAAAAAATATATATGCTAATTATTACACATAGTAACAATAATAAGTGGATGGGTGCTAGCTTATAGTATCAATTTTTGTAACATAAAAACTAATATTGACATTTGCGCCGCTGTATGAACATAATACAATATTTAACTTGAATACCATAATAACTGTAATGCAATTCGATTTAAATTATTAAATTCAATTTTCGGCTTGCACGAAACTCATTTGAAACGAGCAGGTGCGACGTTTCTTACCTGTGGTACTAGGAGTACATGAGCTAAGGAGCGGCGATTGCCATATTCGAGAAAGGCGAAAAGGTAGGTACGGCCACCACAACGACCGCGGCCCACGCGCCCCTGGTACTGATTTTCTGACATCACATAATATTTATCAAAAGACTGCACTATTATTATTATTAATAAATACAGTTGTTGCTTATTAGTTATTAGTTATACACAAAAATATACAAGCACAAAAATGTCAGTCGTCCGCCAATAAATTATTAACATTTGCAAATGCAATTGCACTTAAATTTTACCAATATTTTTAATATTTTAGAGTTTAAAAAAAAAAACCGCGTATTTATGTATTATTGTTCAATAAATTCTTTCTCTGAATACCGTTCTTTTCCACTGTTTGTTTAATTTGATTATTTTTTTTAAACCTTTAGCCAATGTGCAAATTCTTAATGAACAAAAAAAAGGCATTATCTAATAATATTAATATTATAAAAACTTCCATTGCTCGTTTTAATGAATAAGTGATATAAATTCATATTATATGAACTTAATCTAGCCGTTTTTAAACACGTACATAATTAATATTTATTTTAATATTACGTTCCTGGAAACACTTTAACAAGCCAACACAGACACAATTATTGATAAGTTATACCAGCGTCCAAGCAGTTTAAGATGATGTTAGACATGTTAGAAAAACAATATTGTTATAGTCGAGAATAGTACATTATCAAATATTCGTCATTGTGTATTTAATTGATTTATATAAAGAGAATTTATATTAAGAGTTGGTTTTACAGTAAGTATAGCTGTTTTCATGTTTGTACAACATGATGCCCGTTACAAATAATAAAATATTATAATTTTTAAATTAAATATTTAAAAACATTGAATCTCATCTATCTGTAATGAAAATACAGCATTTGTACAATTATTGTCATAGCCACATTTTTCGCGTACATAAAATTATTATTATTGGCCAAGAATTAATAAAAAAAAAACACAATACGATTTTATGTTAAACAGTTGACAAATTTAGTTGATGGAAAAGCCATATTGTTTTTATAATATACCTCTTATCCAAATATTAATATATTATTAAAAACCTATTCTGCACCCTTATACATTGTAAACTGCTACTCCTGCGAGATGTTTTTTAAATTTAAAAAGAATTATAAAGTCAAACCTCAGGAATAGTATGGCAAAAGTGTATTGTTATTATTGTAAATATTATCCTTTATATATTATATATATATATATATTTATTTAACTAATTAAGAATTTGTGTAATTTGTGATTACAGACTAAACAAAGGTTGCTGGCAACCCACATAGAGAGAAGTTGAGATAACTATACTGGTGAAGTTATTTGTGAGTTGTGCTTATAAAAAAAAAAAAAGCTCGAATTTGTACTACATATTTATTAATAAAACAAAGTATAAATATATTATATTATATTCATTGGATAGACTTAACTAGAGTCATAAGTTTGAAGTAGATATTATAACATAATTTTTCATTGAACGACTGTGGTATGTGGTAGGTAATCGCTTTAAAGTTTACCATAATATTATACTTTCACTTACCTCGTCGCTGCTTACTTTTTCGTCGGCCATTGTTGTCGACGTCTTCGAGTTGGATATATTTTTCCATAAGAAAAAACACCAAGACGACTATAATGTTAAAAACAAAAACAAACTTAAATCAAGTCGAGTTAATGTTTTCTATTAGGCCTCCTCGGCCATTTTGTCATGGTGTACCTACATACGAAACACCAACATTTATCTATGCCACACCAGAACAACAATAGACATAGGAAGTTTTACAATAATTGTTGTATAATTTACTCAACATCACAGTCCACACAGTCGATAACACGGTGCTACAGTGATTCTGAACTTTTCCAAAAAAAAAAAAACGTTCTCTAATACACGGAAAAACATAGAAAAAGGAATATGTTTTTGGGCTTAGACGGTGTGATTCAACCAAATCATACTTGATTGAATTTCAAAAGTACCCTCTCCTTCCCCTCCCCTCCCTATACCTACAATATCTTATCAATTTATCGTACATTACCTAACCCGGTAACGACTGATAACCTGATGATAACTCGGTAATAACCTGATGATAACTTAAAATGATAACTAAAAAGTAAAAAGTTTAGAATTACGGTCTGGCAAATTTTAGTTTGTTTGTAAGAATAACATATCCATATCAACACGTTTGAAATGTTATTTTTTGTTTTAATTTACACCCCCAATTTCTTTTATACCTGATATTCAGTATTGCCAAGAGCCAATCACACTTTGTTTTACGGTTAATGGGTAATTAACATGTTGATGGTGGTAAAAAAAAATGTCAAACGCGGTTTTATGTTGAACTTCATCGGACCTACACACAGTACAACCTCAACCAGCATATTTTGGTCAGTTGAAAATTTAATTTTAATTTTTTTTTGTAACACTAACTATAATAGCACATAAAATGTATTGTAGAACTATTTTATGTAAGTAAGTATTACAGTACTTAGTACTTACTAATATAAATTAATGGTTTTGACGAGAAAGGGTGTATAAGTCAAATTATACGATTTTTCACGAGACGAAAAAAAAACTTGATAATTTATACTAAGAAGTCTTACGTCTTACCGAAAATGATTTTTATAATTTATATTCAGACTTTTTCACTCTTGTATCTTTGGTCCCGGGTAGAAAGGGTAGTCAATTTTTTACAAAAAAAATGTTTTCCGTAGATTTAAAGCTTGATTTGTGCTGATTTTTTTTTTTTTGGTTCAATTGGCATAAGTCAGTGACGAATATTACTCATATTATTGAAGAAATAAATAGGGCATATTTGGAGTTTTTCCATTTAAAGTTTGGTAGAAAGGGCATAATATATAATAGCATGGGTATTTTCATATAGTCTATTTATCAGATAACTATAATTCTGCTCTTAAAATATTATAATATTATGATATACTATTGAGTGAATTATTGTACAGTAAACATTAATTTGTCATTAGATATCATAATGAGTTCATTTTTAGGAAAGGCATTAAATATATTCTATGTTTTGATAAAAATAACATAAGTCAAAATGTATTTGATCAAAAAGGCTTATGTCGTAAAAAAAAAAAAAAAGACTTAAGTGAGAAAAAGTGAAATCCAAATGGTGTAACTACAGTTAAGTCTATAAATAATAATTATAAATTCAAGAATTTTAAGTCATAAATGCACTTAGAATTTGATAAGTATACATAAATAGTTTCTATAATATTCGTGGTCGTAATACTAAAACGTGTAGGATTTTTTTAAACTTTCAAACGGCTGTCTTGAAAAGTTGATTAAACTGACATAAGCCCTTTCTACCCGGGACTAAAGATATATAGTAGTACAATTTCAATATTATGAATAAAAAATAAAACCAATACCTTCTCGCTTTGCATCGAAGCTAAAATGTAAACAGGTGATGACAAAAAAAAAAATGACATACCTTTTTCACCAAACCCGTCCAATTATTATAATAACATTATTGTCAACCGCGGTGTTGTTACCTGGTAAACCAAAATGACGTGCGACCGTTACCGGCGTCCGACTATTAATTAACTCGAGTACCAGGAATGTATATGTTCGGCGACTGCGGCCGGCACCGGCTCGGCCCGCGGTCGGCTCGGCCGTCGCGCCGGTAACCCGTCGGTTACGTTAGGCTAACCCGTCGGTAACGTACTCGCGCCACCACTCGGGGTACCAGGGCCCCAGGAAGACAGCGACCCGTCGGAGTGCTGTCTGTCGGTGAAAATGCCGGCCGTTGCGTTTGAATGATATTATATTCTTGGCGGCGTGCCCTGCTGAAGCGACGGCCGAGGGCGGTTGCTCGGACCCTGGTGCACAAAATTCCCAATCCATCAACAATATTTTGGGCTACAGTAGAAATTCGTCAAATTATATAGAAAATTGTCAAATGCGGTGGCGGATTCATCGGGGAGAGGGGGGCACACCACTTATCACTAGAGAGAGCCTTATCACTAGAGCTCGGTTGTTGTAATGACCATGTACCGCGTGACCAATGTATTAAGTAATTATTTTTACTGATCTAGTTGATGCTCAAGTCTTCGGTTGAATAATTTTGGCGTTGTGTATGCAACATCAAAGGTGAGTTTGGGTAAGTAGTTTTAAATTAATTTATAATTTAGCTGTTCTCTCAACTCCTAGTAATTTAATTACTGTACTTTAATTACTGTAATTCAATTTAGTAATTTAATTACTGTACTTGAGCCTTTGGCGTAAACTCAATAAATAAACTCCTTCTCCTTTGTTACTACTATAATTATTCGGATATTCGAGTTGTCATTTTCTATAGAAAAAAAAAATGTTAATGTCTTTATATCAGACTTATATTATATTATGTTCTTAATTTCAATAAACAGTTCAAATGAAGGGTACAGGGAATTAACTAGAAGGCATTTTTTTTTAAAATCCTAGAAAAACATGTTTATAAATAATGCTAAAACTTTTGAAAAAATTTTCAATTTTTGTTTTTAATCATGTTTTAAACACGAATAACAGCTATAAAAACGAATTTTAGAATAACAAAATGGAGATTTTTATTTTTAAAGTTACCTGCCTGTTTTTTTCCTGTACCCTTCAAAATTTTGCAACTTTTTACTATATTGTTAAATATTTTTAAAAAAAACATGGGCCGTGGCTGAGAACAAAAATTGGTTAAGATCGCATAACCTGTTTGGCTTTGCTAAACATCTAACATACGGTAAAATGTATTTATGTTGATAAAGTTATAAATAGATTAGCAACTATCAAAATAAAAAATAAAAATACGTACATATTTTGTACCATAACATTATTGATGTTTGTTTAATCATTGTTTTTCATTAAGTATAATATATTGTTTAAATTGATGTGGATATTTTGTGTATAAAAAGTTATAATATGTTAAACCTTTGGGTATAAAACATTTGTTTTTATTCGTTAAACATCATTGTAATGTCAAATTAGCGAATATATTTAGTATCATAATGCAATTAATTTGTTTATCAAACTTTCGCTATAACTAGGAGAAAAATAACTAAAAAAAAAGTTTTATAACGGCTATAATGGCTACTTGATCAATTTTGTTGTCAATTATTGCCTATCCATTGCCCCTTAATAAATAGCGCTTAAGTATATGAATGAGATAGGTAGTTGCCTTGTTTGATGTGTTCAACTTATTTTTTTCTCCAAGTGGAATATCCTTTAAAAGTGTTGTTTACACATAACCGTTGTATGGATTTTTTGCAGCTCACTCAGGTTTTTTTGACGTTGTTTTAGACGAAAAAGCCTGATAAAATTTCGACTACTTAGGATACGGTCAGATTTCCATTTTGCAAAGTTCTTTAGCTGCTTTACTAAGTTATGACGGAAACGGATTTTTCGGTTATATGCTTGTTTGTTGTGTAAAAAATTGGAATTTAATATTGAAAAAATTGCAAATAAATATATTTTGGTTACAAGAGATTGAAATTTTCAAATGAAAATCGCCTTCCTACACAAAACCTAGTAAAATAGTCAAAGAACTCGAATCTCTTTGTTACATTGTTGAAATTCTAAGTAGGCATAATTGATTGTTACGCGTTTTGGTCTAAAATAAACCAAAATGAATTAACACGGTCGAAATTTAATAAATCTCTTTAGTTCTTAAATATTGCCTATATAAAACTCCTTAAAAACCGCTCGCTTCCAATACCTACCCTTAATGTCGAATGTTGTTATTGAAATTAAATAAACACATATTATTTAACAGTAGTTATATATTCGGATAGTAACTAGTTCCAACTAAATAATTATGCAAATGTTTAAAAATCATTCAATTATTTTAACATGTTACTATATCACTATAATAATGCAATACAATTTCTAAGTAGGTAGATACCTGTTAAATTAATTGAAATTTTCAATTATTCGAATGCAAAAATGATTTAATCGACAAAAATTGTACTTCAAACAATGAAAAATAAATATATTTACGAATCAACTCAAAATAATGACTGTTTATCCGTTTGGCTTTTACTGAATCTTAGTTTAGCCCTTAAGCTTAATGCTTATAAAATCAAATTTTATAGCTTAGCTAATGAGAACTAAATTATTAACAATGTTAGCCACGAGACAGTTTTAATGTTGGTTCTTTATGTTAATCATAATACTTGACGTTAACACCCAAGTACTTACTACCTAAAAACCTTTGGTATAACTAAGTAAAAAACTTACTATACATAATAAATCGAGGTATTTTTTTTTATAGGTTTAAGAGTTTTATGATTCTACATAAAGGTATGTTTTAAATCAAATAAAAATTGCCCTCTCAAATCGAAAGGCCAAAACAATTCAAATAATATTCTCAACATAATTAGTTAAACAAGTTCTCTAAGAACTCATTCGTACAATGATTAAAAAATATAAACGATAGGTTATAAGCAGGTGACCTATGATTAGCGGCGTGTTGTGTTCTAGTTTTATCTTAGTTTACAAGCGTATCGGTCATTTGAGAAACGCCACAAGTCACAAAATCCGATTTTTTTACAAGGACAAGGAAAGAAAAAACTCCTTCCTGATAATAATTAATGGTGTTTGCCTTATGAACAGATCTAATCCAAATCCCTATTCGGACCGGAAGTCAACTCTGTGACAAGAATTTAGCGACTTACGGGCCAATTCATTCAAATGACCGATTCAAACGCGGTACAAGGCATACCGCTTTTACAACAATTCCAAACGTTTGGTTTTTAGTATTTTATTAATTTCGAAATTATTGTACAGTTAACTATTCTTACTTTTACAGTTAAAAAAAAAAAAAAAAACTAGTTTTTTTTTTTAATACATTTAAAAATATTTTATTCTCATGTTCTACACTACAACAGTTAAGCACAGGTACACTAGGTAGACGTTGTATATTACATACTTTCAGGTAATACTACACTATACTTGCCTTAAATTTATTCATTAACACGTATTGTGAACATACATAGTCCATAAATAATGTTAAGTACAAACTAAGAGTACACAATCGATTTTAATAAATTATGAGGTATATTATTTATCTTTTGCAAAACGCTATTAACATAGTATTATTAGTAAGCTTTTTGTAAATACATTTTTGATTGAAATAATAGTGTACCGAGTACATACAGTAATATAATAAAGTGTTTTTAAAATATAAACAACCTATTAAGTTTTTAATATTATTATGTTAAAATTCAATATAAATATAAACACACGTACAATCTAAAAAATGTAAAACACAGAAAATATCTTATTTTATTCTAAAAAAAAAAAAACTACTAAAAATATACTATATTTTATGGTGGTGAATAATAATAAGTTAGGAAAATAATAATTACATATTTTGTTCTAAACTCACTTAAAATAACACACATCCATAATGTTAATAAGGTACATGAGTGACTTACATAGTTGCGGTAGTCTTAAATATAATTATTTTTACATAATTTTTAATCTTTTTAATGTTTGCATAATATTATTTCATATTTTTTGGGTTAATATAAATAAACTCTCTTCATATACATTTCTATGATAAAATAAGTAAAATAATATATTTAAAAAATAAATTATACAGAATAATAATAATAATAATTGTATAGAATCAAAATAATAAATTAAACAAATCTATTAAGTACAAAACAAAATAGAAATAAAATTTAATTTAGTAATATTATAATAGATATCTTCGTGTTGAGATCATCTTTACAAAGTAAAATAAAACATAAATAATATCTTTACAAATTAATAAAACATTTCAATCACTGTAATTCAGCGTCAATCCTGCGTTTAGAACAATAAAAATAAAAAAATAAATTAAAACTTTTTTTTTATAATAAACGTTTTGTATAATAATAATTTAGTGTGTCAATATCTGCTGTTTGATGCGATATTATTTTTCAAAAAAAAAATAAGTCCGCTTAATTGTGTTTTGTGTAAATACGCGTTACATAGAATACAGATTACATATAGGTACTCGGGGGAGGGGGGGGGGTGAAATAGGATATAGAAGGCAAAGGAATCATATTACATATACTGCATAAATAATTGTATTAATACTATTCATAAAAAAATTACCATCTACTAGTCAACGGACTTCTTTCCCTACTGTGGCAATGTCTGTAAGACGTGTCGGCTTCGCCGTCGCAATACTGATGCATAAGCATTTCGTCCGAATGAAGAGATCCGTCAAAATCCATAGGGTAACACGATCTGTAAAATAGAAAATATTTAAAAATTAATTTTACAAAAAACTTTAAGCGTAAAACAGAGAAAACATCTCGAGTGGTGGTTTTAGGGGAGGGGGGGGGGAGGATTGAAAAATAAAACAGCAGTTCTGCGTAGTTTTTGGAAAATTAAAATTTTGATTTAAAAAACTACACTACCAGCGGATCGAACCTTTTTCGGGTCGAGTATCAAATATTTTCAATCACGGTTCTTAAAACTGTGCCAAAAAAAAAAAAAAAAATGTCTTTTTATCGAGGATAAAAAAATATTACAATTAATATATTGTACGTACATACGTTTAAATTGGCTTTTAAAACGGCGACTGGTGTGTCGTCGTTATCATTATATAATATATTAAAATCTACACACAGGTGATTCTTCGAATTTCCTTTACCTAACTAAAATTTTATAAAAACATCTTATTTTTTCTAAATAGTATAAATAAATTTTATTTTTTTTCTCGTTCCATTGAAATTCGGCCAAACGGGGGTTACAGGATTGCCAACCCGGGGGGGTCACATACGATAGTAATTTTTACAATTTACCCGACTATACGACGACAAGTGAAAAACAAGATTCGTTTCAGTTTCTTGTTGTAGAAAAAGTAATTGAACGACCATAAACATCCGTCTTCACTGAACGGGTCCGACCTCATATCTGGCGTATAGCTGTAAAACAAAAAAACAACAAAATCATTATCAATGCAAGTATATAAGTTATACGAATATAAGTACTTCAGTTAAATTAATAAAAAGCTTTTTATCTTGTAAAAAAAAAAAAATATTTAAATTTAAGTTATATTATATTTATTGCACATAAATCATGGTGACTACATAATACACACGTTAGGTAAATGTATTTACCTTGGCTTATGCTAGATAACAACGGCTAAATAGTACAATGCGGCGTTACAACAAGGATATCATCATATGTGCCTTACCTGTAGATATCGCATTGTGACATTCCGATCTCTTTGTCTATTTGTTCCCATAGCGCATGCCTGATTTGTCCGTAGCTCGTCTTGGAGGCGTTCTGAACGACATCGGACTTACCGTCGGAAGACGGTTCCACAATGACGGCGCTCAAATTGTTGTCGATGTCGCGCATCACCCATTGTAGACTGCGCTCGCGGCTGAATTCGGACGACTTGGCGTCGGTGAAATCGTAATCCGGCGCAAACGTTGCGTTCAACGTGGCGATCAAATAGAACAGGGATTTGCGGGAAATAGTGTCGCACAACTGATCTCCGTCGTCTCCGGAAACGCTTAAACTGAAATAAAAAAAAATTATATAAAAATTGAGTTTACACGGTTTTTGTCGACACCACCACGGCAAGGCCAATAATAATAATAATATTCATCTAAGAAGCGTAAAACATATTTTATAATAGAGTGGATAGATAAATTTTTATTTGTCACCATTTGTTTTCGTAAAAATAGTATAACCTGTTAATTTATTTTTATTAAATAAATTGAAGAATGCGCGCGCGCTATCACTAAACGAAATACATATCTCTCACAAAATACAACAATATAATATACCTATTACACTGCATTCAAAGTTGTTTGTGGGGGAAAAAAATGTAAATAATAATTTTCAGCTTGTTGTCAACACTAGTTATTGAAAATAAAGAAAAAATTGTACACAAATGCTTTTTGATCACAACACTCAACACATACGGTATCTCAAAAATGATAAATATATATACACTTGTGACGGTCCAACTAGTAGCGGGCACTAGGAGGGCCAGGGTAATTTTTTTCTGGAAAGGCAATTTTATTATCAGTGCACAATTATTATCAACCAAGTCCCTGATTATTGAAAAAAAATGTTTTCTGTTTTTTAAAGGTTTTGTTATCCCTTTAATGTAGGTATTATTTTCTATAACACTCTGCAGCAATGTGTGTAAATACGATTTTTATTTTAATAATTCCTTTTTTTTTCTGACGATGTAAAATTATATTTGCCTATTAAAAATTCTGAGTAGGCGCCTTCAATACGCCTTAAATAATTTAACCTTTTGGGTGTCACAACAAACCAATGACCTTAATTTAAACGGGTCAAAAATCAAAACGTACATATATTCATTCATTCTGCCGCCGTAATGATGATAAAGTGCTTTCTAATTATCAAATTAATTGTCATGGTCTTAACAAAAGTAGTTGTCAAGTATGTGTATCTAAGGTTTGGCTCTGTCAGAAGATTCCGAGTTTTTCTGAACATGTCAATGTTATACGTTAACTATCAGAAACGTGGGATTTTTAAAACGCAACCGGTTTGAAAAATTCAAGAATCCTAAATGTTTGTCTCAATACTTTTTATATGTATCTCATCCTTGGTGTAAGATTGGTCCTAGAATTTGAGGTTCAGTTGTATTTGGAACCCTTTCATACAACCTTTTTGTATTATGCTAAATGCACCTATGTTAAATCGAGTCGACTTAATCGTCTATTGGTCTACTGATTTAATGAAGTGTGTGATTTAAATTTTTTTCATGATAATCTTTCAAACACATCAATCACTTTAAAATATTAATTTTAGCGTCTACTATTATTTTATTACTATTGTTGTTGTTATTATTATTAATATTTTATCTCACTGCTGTATCTGTGTTTATTCAATCCACCCTACGAGGGTATAACGTAATTAAATAATTAAATAAATAAAAAATATGTATTATAATAAATTGTATTTACTCAAAACTATTTTATAGGCCCTAGCATAAACTTTGATGTAAAGGGTCTTGATCGGATGATAAAATGATATATACACTTTTTTTATTCGATTAAGTAAAAATAGGGTTTTACACAAATCGCATGACAAAATATTAATTTTAGCCCGAGACCGTCAGCCTGTGTATAACAGCCGGCCGTTAAAGTAAACGACCACAAGCTTCGGCTAGAATTGCAAAACTTTGTTTAGTTTTAATAAAATTACCTTATTTTTTGTTTAAAAAAAAATTCTCACTGAATAAAAAATAAAATAAAAAGTCTATCGAAAACGGATCGTTTTATACTTAAATTGTATAATATAAAAATATTGTATACTATAAAAGTTAATGAAATATTTTTTTTAACTTCTTAGCAGCCCATAGATCGTTTCCACGCTACAAAATAACTAATATTGTACTGTCATGTATCGTAATACCTAAGTAACGGATTTAAAAGCAATGTAGTAAATATTTAAAACAATTTTCAGCACCAAAGTTGTATGCATATATTAAAAAAGAAAAAGAAAAAAGAATAGTTTTAAAATAAGAACCATCTTACACATCCTTCTATATAGGGTGATTCATAAAGGATAAAACACTCAAATATTTTTTTAATTTAAATAATTGCAATTTTGTAGTTTGTTTTGATATTATTTTAAAAATGACTAAACATTAACCTTTTTTAACACTTTCCAAAGCTTTATCAACTACTCTAAAACTTAAATAGTAACATACATATATATAATTGAATTTTTAAATTAAGAATAATTTGGTAAACACTCGGTCCACAACAAGGTATATAAGGTTATTATAGGTTTTTAAGTAATTATCCAAAAACTGGTTATTGATGTGTCAAAATTTTCGGCAAATAATTTTTAATTTAAATAGTTAATTAAACGTATAAATTATTGTTCAAGTTTTAAAAGTAAAAAAAGTTCTGGGGAAAAAAAATAGATGGGAATTTATATGTTGTGCAAAATAACATTAACATTAAAATGTCTCCCAAAAATAAAACTACAAATATGCAATTATTTTTAACACGTTGACCTCCACCATACGGCCGTTGGCAGCAGCACACTATACACTGTTGTCAACAAAATAGTGTTGACCTTCACAAAATGTACCAAGTGTTATCTTCTGAACAAACAGGTCTAAAACTACAATTCTAATGACAAAATATTTCTTATCGTCCGGTGATTAACTAATGTGAAATAATAATTATCGTGAGGCCGCCGACAACCTCACAGCGTCAGTATAATGGAGTTTTCCCAAGATGCTAGCGTTCTAAACAATACAGCCGGTGGCTTCTTTCTAGTTTAATGAGGTTTTTTTTCAATTTAATAATAAAATAATTTCAAAAAAAAAACGTATACTAAAATATTAATTGTCAAAATGACCATTTCACACATTGTCGTATTATGGTAAATATAATACACGGTTCGAATCAGTTTCCCTCTTCATCTACCAACGATATACAATATTGTATAAAACATTTACAACAGCGCCATGAAAATTATTTCAGATTACATTATTAAAATGTGATATACAGCGGCTGTAAGGTCGTCTAAATATGATATGTAGCGGCGGCTTGCGGCCTAAATTTCAGTGATAGATAACAAAAATTTGCGAGACGGCCAGCGGCTGCATAAATAATGGTCAACGCGTGTTGAGATACAGATACAAGAGTGTTGGATGTTTTTACGATTTTTACCCTACTGTATGAAAACGTGTGTATTTACCTCCTTCCGCCGTTGTATCTATCGCTGGGCGAACTCAAAGCTTCCAAGTCGTTTGGTTGCGTGCCGCTCTCTTGGTAGAATTTCTTGTACTGTTGTTTTTCGTCTCCTACCATTTTGCAGCTATAGCTCTCGATTCTGTTTTCGCGTGAATAGTGGAAACAGATCAGAGTGTTAATTTGTAACTATTGCCCCAACAGTTATGTTTGCGTTTTGTAAATATATTTTGTGTTCTCCGTACCTGGCTATGACTTTTTCGTCACCGCGGTCCACGCACAACGCCTGCGACAACGCGTTCAACTGTGAGCTCTCCAACAACTTCATCGTTGTTGTTGTTGTTGTTCTCTCTCGAAACCAACGATACAAAACCAACTTACAACGTAAGTTTGAACGATCCAAACGTTTTCATTGTTTCATTGCAGTCCATCGTCGTTGGTAGGGGTAGGTAGGTCTGATGTTCTGCAACAATAAGGGGCGACGTGACAATACTAAATTAATAATAAATAAACCCAATGCAATGTACCAATGTTGTAGTACACGGTAATGAGTACGGTTTATCTGTAGGCGCTAACGTTGAATTATTATTATTATCCGAGAAAACGTCAACTATATATTATAATATTATTGTAGTAAACAAACAACGAACCTTTTCACGTAAAAGCGACAGTATTAGATAATGATTACACACACACACACACACACTGAACACTATAAACAGTACACAAATCACACAGTGCACAACAACAACGGCGGCTCACAAACAAAATAGCGTATTACGTACGTATAATAAGCGTATTATTATTATTTTTAATCTTGAGGACGCCGATTATTATTTATTATTAGAAGAAGATCTGATATGAGCAGACAGCGACCTTGATATTCTGTTCGGCGGCTATTTTACCGTAAAATGGTATACAATGAGTTTTATTATATTGCCGGGCGGGGGGTGGGCGGAGGTGGAGAGGCCTGGCCGGGCAACCTTTCGCGCATGCGCATTGCGCCAAACACACAAACATAACAAAGAGGGTCACGCGCGCACACGCACAAACACATTGTCCGACCCGCCAAACGAAAACAGCTGCGTCTGCGGCGGCGGCTGCGTCTGCGTCTGCGGCGGCGGCTGCGTCTGCGTCTGCGGTACCGTTTGTGCCGAGGGAAAGTAGCGGCGGCGCCAAGCGCGGGGGGGGGGGGCGAGCGTCACTTTCGCGTATTATCATTGATTGAAATCCTATAGGTGGGCACTACTACTACTACAATGTATCAACGACCGCGAAAATGTGTGCGGTAACGTCGCGGTATGTGTGTGTGAATTACCGTATACCGCGGTTGCGGTTCCAAACACGAACGGCTCGCGCTTTCACAATATGATAAGTGATAACGCGGAGGTAAAATGTAATTTGAATGGTTACACTATAGCTGGCAGCTGCTGCTGCTGCTGCTGCTGCTATTTAACGCGTACATTTTATAATAATTTTCGGAAAATATTTGCATGTGAAAAAAAAAAAGCAAATGAATTCCAAACGATGTTCGTTGTAGCTGTTTGCTTCGGAATTGATCAACACGTTCGTAATATTAATATAATTTTTGATAATGTGTGCAGCTGCTGCTGAGGACTGTTTACACTTTAGTGTTTACCCGAAACGGTATCACAACAAACACACACCGTTGTACAGCATTTTCAGTTATCAATATTGTTAATGTTGCAGTATTTTTCCATAGTTTGTGATCATTATAAATTATAATGTTTTCTTACTGCTAAGGATTTTTTTTGCAAAAGTAATTATTGTTTTTTCAATTTTTTCAATTTCAAATAATTATATTACCGATTATACTGGAGTTGCCGTGCCGATTCCCCGGATCCAGGTAAACTATTGTAATATTTTCGGTTTACCTATATCGTTTTCAATAAAAAATTATCGTGATAAATGTTTTGTTCAGCGCCAAGCAAACGAAATGAAAAATTGAAAACTGACATCACACAGCAAGCAAATGGTTGTGCAAATAACCCAACTTCACAATTATTGTGTTTTACAAGGTATGTAAATGAAAGTAAAAAAAAAAAACAAATGTGAACGCTTGCATTTGTATACGGATGTGTATTTATTTTTTTTCTAACCGATTCGCATATAGGTATACAAAGTACCACCTCCTCACCTACTTGTATTTAAATGTAAACTTTTGTAATAAATTATTCTTTTCAACACTCTTATCGCTCTGTTTTAAAAATGTTTACAACTCTATTTGTTTCATTTTGTTTGTACCTACAAATTTTTTTTTTTTTTTATTCCCAATCGTCGATAATGAGTAAGTATGGGTCTCGCGGTCGACTTGAATTGGTTTTTTTTTCTTCTTTTCTAAATTTTGATTTGACCACACAACCTGAGTTGCAACACAAGTACACAAGACACAAATATAATTGTATAAAAATTATGAAATACATTATAAATAATTATACAAAACCGTTTTGCGTTGACACTGCTGGTGGTGCTGCATGGTTAGATTAGGCCTAACGTCGTGTTTGTTAGTAGCCGGTAATTTAATTTTGTAAAAATCCTGTGCGACGGGTCACGCTCAAATTATAGTAGTAGTCGTTAACTTGTGTGTATAGACGAGCATTGTGTGTGTACGCTATCGTGTAAAATAGATGACAATTAACGCGAATGTGTGCGCTTTTAATGTTAAATTAATGTCTGAATCGCGGGCCTTTTCTACTACTACGCTGGAGTTGCAAATATCACGAAAATAACCCGTAAATAATGTTTTGAAAAATTAACATAAAATACAATGAATTTAATTTATACTATAGTATACTATGTAAATAGCTGGAGTAAAATTGTTGAGAAACATGTGTGGAAGGGCTTAGACTTGATAGAGTATTAGCAAAAATAGGTTAGTAGAAAGTTATGCTTTTTAAATGTATAAAAATAAAAACAGAAGTGTGGAGTATATTGTGAATAGGTATTGACTAATGTGTAGTGTAATAAAGTGTATACGTGTACTGGTATTTTCTACTCTTGTTTTTTGTATGGGTTATTCGATTCGTTTGTTGTTGAATGTGTGGTATACATCTGCACAAATTTATTCAAATGACTTTATGAAGTAGAAAATTTCTTAAAAAATCGTTTTATGATTTTAACGCCCGACTCGGTGAAAACCGTTGAAATGGAAATGTGCTCCAGTTAAATGCCTAATACCAATGTTTTTACAGTATGGCTGAAATTCAACACCGCAAAAACATTTTGTGTTGTCGCTGTGTATTTGTTTACAATAAAAAATTGTGTTTTTTTTATTAATGCATCATCGTCAGTTTTAATGATTAATGTATTCTTTAATTTTTGTAGTATTAAAACAGTGCTTGAACGGTGCCGGAAATCATAATTGAAAAAGATAACGAAGAAATGGGTCGTTCAACACACAAACAGTCATTCGACAAGTCCATGATGAGCCTACAGAATGAATAGATTTGTGAAAACCCTTATCTACTACAAGTAATGGAATTGTTTAACACAATTTTTTTTAAATTGCAAATATCTTATTGATGATACTCTTGGGGTTTTGTATCATCTGAAAACACATGGGTCGCATTACACTATTATTATTTGTACCATATTTGGGGATGGCTAATTGGTTTATTTGTCTACACGCCATCGGCCTTTTAATCAAAAAGGCTGATGGCGTGTAGACAAAAAGTTGCCAGAAATAAACTCTGGTGAGAAGTGTGTAATGTTTATAATTCCATTAACTGCACACGACTGAGACCGATAACGGGCAAACTACCTCCTTTTGTGTCTATTCGCAGGGTCATACCGGACAAATTAGATTTATCTCTTAACACAGCTAAACGTAAAGCCACGACATTGGTAAAATAATATTTTCTCATCAACAGATGTTACCGACACCGAATCAGTGGGCGCGCAGAGGCAATGCGTCCGACTCTCAGATGAGTGCGTCCGAATCAGCCCCCAATTGTAACCATTTGGTTAAACTGATACCGATTCCGGTTAAAATGTATGTTTAGATTAAAGATTTTTTATTAAATAGCTAAAATAACATCATGTTTTTTTTTAGGGTCTACGGGATGTTTGTTATCGCTGTAAAACATTAACGTCTGTTCCGTCGGAGATGGCACTGTGAGCCAATTTTTTTTTTCAATTGGTCACATTTCTTTAATGGTTAACAGACAGCCAAGCTGTCGAAGATTACCACCATGTGTTTCACTACCTGTGAATGTAAGTAATTATTATTATTATTATTAACACAATTGATTAGTGTAAAGAATGTTTATTAAACACTTTTTTTTAAAAATTAAATTAACAACACAATTACACATGTTGATTACAAAAAAATTGAATAAGACATAATATAATAAGACTGTAATAATACTTTGAGGAAAAGAGTGTTTTTTAATTATTATATTTTTTTTATAATAAACCATTTCCCTGCATTGATTGATCGACGAGAAGACTACAAATAATCTTAATAACCTAGATTAAATAGTCCGGTCTGTTACAGTGGCACAGTCGGCTTAACGTATTCGCAAGGAGGAAACCACATCAGGCACACGTCAAGGAAAGAAACTGCAGATCCAACCTCGAGACTCCGAGCAAAGAACCAGCATAACGTTCAACTTCACGACTGAAGTTGTGCGTTATTGTGAGTACGCACACATTTTATTGTAAAGATTTAATATTGATTGCAAGAAGATAGTATTGAGTAAAAATAAAATTAAATAAAAGTATTAATAATGAGTAAATTTTGAAAAAGAGTTGTATTATAACCCATATAGTAAAAGTTGCATATGTATACTAAATTTGGATTTGAATTTATGAGTGATAATAATCCCAGTTCGTCTGCCCTTTGTGAAAAGAATAATAAGAGTGACAACACTAGTGAGAGAGTGTAGAGAAAATAATTGTCAAAGAAATTAGTTTTAGGGTTGGCAGTGCAACTAAAACGTGAACCTAATTGTATTTGCTTTGCATTGTTTTGAACTGTGCTCACAGTGGTTGTAAAATGTTTGAAATTCCATCAGAGTACGCCACTGTTGTTCATCAAGAATTCATTGATCTTGACTTGTATGTTTTATTTGGAATTGTTGCGCTATACTGTGGTTTTCTACGAAAGCTTTAACAAAACAAAATGTTAGATGGATTTTGCGCAAAATGGCCCATTGGATGTCGTACGTCCAAGCCGTAATTTCAGAAATTCCAAAACCAAAACCGTATAAGAGGGACAGGTACATTTTTATTAATTATTATTATTTATTTATTATCGCTGTAATTTATTACTATTCCTATAGCTTCAGAGACCTAAGAGACCAGCCAAAACCCGTCGCCAAAAAACTGATTCTCTTAAGGCAGGCACGCACTCCTCTATTGATTCCGCCGACGGAGAGTGCCAAATCGTCGACATCAATCTGCCGGTTAGGATATTTATTTTTTTTTTATTATTATTATTTATTTCTTATTACTGTAATTTATTATTATTTCTTTGACTTCAGACAACTTCTAAAGTTAATCTAACTTGCCATACCGATCCCCTTTTTACGCCGACTCCATCTCCTTCGTGTCCGACGATTCGGATTGTGTAATCGTTTGCGATGAAAGGGAAAACGAAGGAAACCTACAGGTTAGGTTATTTATTATTTATTATAATATTATCTTAAGGCACCCATCCCTTTATTAAGAGGCGGCGGGGGGGGGGGCGGAAAGAGTCAAATTGTGTATACAATAATGAATGAAAAAACGCGAAATAACTTATTTGTAACTGTTTATAATGTTTTTTTTTTATCGAATCGATTTCAAAACATTTGGTTTTCCTAAAGTTTACTATCTCCTCTATAGATGAAGAGGGAGGGCTAAACGACGGTTTTTTTTTGGTTTCCAATTTACACTATAAGCGTTTGTATTTCGTTTTTTTTTTACCTTTAAATTACAAAATGTGTTTTTTTTTTTGTACTAAAGCAAACTAATTTTTAAATTTTCAAATACTGCACCGGACTTTAGCCATCATACAAAAAACCAATATAGTACGCTTACTATGACAACAATCAAACCAGTAGGGGGCGAATAAACGATACTTACATGGGTAACTATGACAATACGTTTTTTTTTTATAGAAAGACGATCAGCCTTAATCGTATCCGCTCTGTGATTAAAATTTAAGTTTTCAAGCACATAATTGTCTTTGGACTTCCTTTACTTTATTACCTTATTCACCTCTCCGCCTCCCCAGTATACCTGACCCGACCCCCATTGTACTGACGATATTGTTATTATTATTATTATCAAACGACAGCCATTTTTTTTTAGGTTAACAATACGCGTGCTCCAGTTGGATAAGATGTGACGGTCGGTAGTGTTGGACTGTTGTAATACTATACATAAATATAGTATCAGAGTGCGAGTTAGTAGAGTGATAATCAAGTATTCAACACAAATAAAGTTATTACAATAATAGATATATTATACATAGAATATATACAACACAGTGAAACAATAATACACTAGTAATATGTATAAACTGAATAGAAATACTGAGCCCCGAGCCCTTAGATCAAATGCTATTTATATTAACCCACAAGGTTGCACGCGTCTACAGATACACGTGTGCTTACAAAAACAACTTTGTTTTTCTATAACATTTCCTGGTTAACAACTACGTATTTTTATTATACAGATAAACAACATATTTATATATTGTGAAATACTTCTTGATATATAGAATATTAATTATTATTCCAACATGGACAATTTATAAAATAGATGTATGGCGACAAGTCCTTAGACAATTTTTCATCTATCGGATTCATACCTAATTTTTCCTGATAACAATTTAATTTTAAGATTACTACATTTGTGTAGTACCATAGGCGGCGATTAAGCCCCCCTACCAATTATTTGATCACTCATACAACTAATTTGTTTAATGTATTAACTTTAGAAATAATACTAAAATATTGTATTATAAATATTCTGATTTTTATCTATACATATTTTGCAATGTTAATTAAAAGGGCGTCGCACCGGTGATTTTCAGTGGTAAAAACATGTTTAAGCAGACTGAAAATAACTCGCTTGATTTTGGTTTTAGAGTAAAAGCACCAATTATAAAATTAAAAGAAAACAATATTCCGGAGGACAAGACGGTGCGTTTTTTAAAAAAAAATTCATTTTTTGAAAAGTTACAGTCATTAAAAAATGTTAAATTAGTCGTTATTTCTAAACTATGTATTGAGCGCTAGAATAATAAAAAAAAAACACCGTCTTGCCCTCCGAAATAATATTGTTCTCTTTTAATTTTATAATGGATGCTTTTACTCTAAATCCAAAATAATTAAGCGAGTTATTTTCAGTCTGCTTAAACGAGTAGAGATGAAAAAACATTTTTAAATCGCTTTCAAGGATGCTGCGATAGTCCAAAAAATAAATTAACTACCTAAATAGAGTCTTAGTTATTGAACTAATAATTAACTTTTAACCCTTTCGGTCCCAGATTATTATTTTTTTTTGGAAAAAAAAATATCGACGATTTTTTCCCATGTTCAATTAGTCCTAAATAATATGTTTACGAAGTTTTAAATCTCAAAACTTATTTTTGACCAAGTTATAAGCGACCTAAGTCAATTACTTTAACGAGTAGGTCAGGTGGTAATAAATCACATTTTAACAATTAAAATTAAAACGTACGTTATTATTTTTATTTTTATAATGATAATATGATAATAAGCTTCATAATATTATTATGTTATCATATGCGTTGCCCAATCTACTCATAGAAGTATGTTCGATCAACACACCATTTACTACCTAACCTACTCGTAGAAGTATTTGATAAGGCTAATGTTTGTTGTCATTAAAAATATGATCAAAGATATTTGAAGTTAGCAATGATGGTTATTACGTTCTATAAACATGTTAACTCGTGGAAAAACAAAATCCCAGATTTTTATTTTAACTTGTTCAGTAGTTATAGCGGAAAATGTAATCACAATGGAAGTGTCTTAGTATCAAATGGAAATGTCAAATTTTCTAGCATAATACTTCAAATAACTGTAAAATGGTTACCTTTTGGTGAACTCTATAATGTTTTAATGAATCTTAGTATATTAAGGATCATTTTTTATGAATATCTTAAGTCCCTAAATTAATAATTAAATTAATGGCGATTTTTTTTAATGTTGCCTACTCGTACGAGTATGTCAGGACTGAAAGGGATTAAATTAAGATATTTTTTTAAGGTTATTAAGTTAAGATTTTGTAAAATATTGCCTATACTTTACTCCTTAAAAATAGGCGGTGCGACGCCCTCTTAAGGGGATTGCATGCGGTTGGTTTTTTAGGAGTTTTGTATAGGCAATATAATTGTACTACTTTCAAATATAAGCAAGTAGGTACTGTGAAATAAATAAATGTTTTGTATATTATGTTGAGTGTTATTTCTTTTAATATTTATTGTTCAACTTATTTTTATTTGAAATTGTTTACTGTTAAAGCAAAAATTACTATTTTATTGTACCGTACAATTTATACGCATAAATAGGAGTAAAGGAAATCAAACAAAACCATCGAATTCAAATCATCCAATCGTTATAGTATGATCATGGGAGCCCGGAAGGGGGGCAAAACCGGGCATTTGCCACCCCCCCCCCTCCATTTGGACTTCAAATATAATTTTGAAAATCCTTTCACCCGTTTTACTACAAGACGTGGGGAACTTAATAAAGAATACAATTTTTTTTTCGAAACTTTTAATTTGTCTCTGAACAGTGATCCTACACAATCTACGACAAAATATGGTACAACCATTGATAATCATTAATGATTTATTATTTTAGATTATTTTTTTTTTTTTTCATTTGTGAATAAGAAATTACAAACTTAATTAAAAAATGTAGGTAAATTTACTTCATAGTAAAATTTCAAAAGCATTTTAGGGTTGGTAGTGCAACTAAAACGTGAACCTAATTGTATTCGCTTTGCATTGTTTTGAATTATGTACACAGTGGTTGTAAAATGTTTGAAATTCCATCGACGTGTACATCAAGAATTCATTGACTTATGACTTAAGTTTAAATAAACAATAATAGACAATATTCTGTTATTTAAAAGAATTCTTTTATTTCTTTTGGAATCAATTGTAAAAGTGGATTTAGATAATACATATATTTGCCATTTTTTAAATAAAATTTTAGCATGCACATAACCGTCCGTAAGACTTAACCTACCCCTACCCTAGCACGAATCCTATTCGCGGTTTTACTAGTAGGTATTCAAAGAGTTAACTTAAATGTTAACATTTTGTAACTAATTAACAATTTTATTATTTTTTATAGTTTTAAAAATCAATGTAGACAAAAATTGTGATGAACCCTTCACTAATCGAATACAACCACAACCTGGAGACCACCGCGCATGTTCGATCCAAAGTTCTGTAAACTTTTAATTATATTTTCAAAACATTTGTCATAATTGTAAAAATGTTTATTTTTTTTTTTTTATCACAAATTACACTACATGAGTAAATCTAATTTTCTCACTGGACTTCATACAACATCTATAGTTAAATTTATATAGAATTTTATTCAAACAATTATTTATAACCCAACATTTCAGACGCTACGGGGACATGATAGTCATAGTCGCTATCCGACAGCTTTCTTTTCGGTGAGCGCTCTTGTTCTTCGTCCTCCTCACTGTCAGTCGTGGTTAGATTAGGAGGGGGTTAATAAGAAAAACAACGCATTTTTAATCTGTCAAATAGTAAAAGTTTAATATGGTATTTTAATGTGTATATATATATATATATTTTTAAACATTTTAATGAAATTTTATTGTATTAAAAAGAAACTGGAAGTGATTACCACACCTTTGGACCGTTTCTGTAATCAAAAAACCGTTATTATCATTTATAGCACAAATAAAAGTAATATGAAACTAGTTATCGGACTCTCATTATTTTCATAATGTTACTTTTCACGTAGGTCACGATAAGAACTACAAAAGCTACCTCATTAAAGTATTCTTAAACAATTGATTTGCTTGAACTATATAAAATGTTTTTTATAATTTATAATGTTCATAATGTTATACATCTTTTTCAGTTAAAACAATCGTCATTCAACAGATTATATTTAACATAATATATAATAATATGTACTACCTATATAATAATCTAATATGTACTGGAATTTGTGTCTATAATAGTTTTTATCAAGCTATTTAGTTTTCTTTAATAGAAAAAAATGTAATATATAATAAATTAAGTTACCTCATTATGAATGATGATGGCAACTATTATGGTAGTAACTACCATATGGTTACTTTATGGCGTTATGAAGAGCATTTTTCACCTTTCTTACGAGACCAGTACCATTACCTTGATATTGATTATGAGCATTATAACCTGAAATGTATTGATTTATTTGTTAAATGTATGTATATACCTGACTATTAATAACAATGCAAGTGAATTAGACCCCACATCGTATGCTAGTGCATATGTTATGCATTATGTAATCTGATGAGAAAAATTGCATAGACTAATACATTTTTTTTTTTATATAAAAAATGAAGTAAACAATTGTTTACCATGAAATAATTTATTCGAAAATAAATAAGACATCTTTGGTTCAGAAACAATAATTTAAAAAAAAAAGAATTATTAAAAATAAAAACATATCATTATCCAAAACAATACCCTCTCAGTACTGTATCGAAGATAAAATATTATTATAATTTGTTTAAAAAACTAAGTAAAATGTATGCATTATATATAACGTTTCTCTATCTATTTAGTTATTACATAATATTGCAAATTGCACAACAAATAAGTCTAAAGATAAAAAACAATTGATAAAAAAAACTTGCTTATTACAAATAACTCGTTCTTTTTATTTTTTTTTACAATAATTTGTCTTTGTAAAGTAAGTAAGAAATACATGTAATGTTTAATGAAAATGGCTTCCCTTTGGAATAAAAAGGTTCTTTATAGTAAAATATTCGATATTTATGGAATAAGAAGTTCTATAGTTTAAATTTGAATATAAAATTTACATAAAAACCAAGTAAACTTTGTAAATATGTAAGAACTATTTGTTTCAGCGTTTAATTCAATGACAATATGACGGTATTCCCACTATTTATTAAGGAATTCACTTTAGTATAAGTAATTTTTTGCAAAATTTGTATTTAACGTTTAACTCTTAGAAGATGGGACTATAATAATTATTAATTTACCTTGGACACAAGATACAATAAGAAATCATTTTATATCACAAAAAATCATGTACGAAGAACTATAATTAGCTTTATGATTTGCTTCTGACTATTCTATATTCTATATTTGTGCTATATTTATTATTTTCTCATAATATTCGTTAAATTTTAACCAATTATTATTTATTATGTCTTTTGTATATGTATAGTATAAGATTTTAATTTAATCATATTATACTTATATCCCAATTACAGAAACTAAATACTCATGTCCAGGTTTTAAGGCTTTAACACTATTTATTATGAAAAATGTAGTTTAGTTCTGAATGTGAAATATATACTAATAAAAAAAGTAAGATGTTATATTATCTGTGTATAATTAAAAATGTAATACATTTAATAATTGCTATTTTAAAACGTCCACAAAATCATAATTATTAGTATCGTATGACTTTTATTTTAATCTTGATTACATGATTACACAAATCAAATTACTATTAGCAAACTTTAAATTGATGTAATGGTATGTGGATAACTTTGTGAAGTTTGTATCGTTTTTATAGTAACTTCATTGCGCATTTTTTTTAGTTTTCATCTTATTTTTTGTTTAATTTCGGTAACGTGCCAAAAACAAATTTAAAACTCATGTGGTCTCAAACTCTACCGTTATTTTACGTTACTTACCATGGCCATATGGCTGAGCTTGTGGACCTACATAAAATTAATAAAACCGGTTATTAATATATTCCATATGGCATAGACTAAAAAGAATTATACACAAGTTATGCACAAACTGAGTTTCTTACTAAATATTTTATCCCCTCGGAATAATTAATAATTAATCTTAAATATAAAACTCCTACAAAAGTAACATTTAAAATTTTCGTTTACTTAAACTTTAGCTGTTACTTACCATACTGATATCCCACATTAGGTGGGCCTAAATAATATTAAGAACAAAATTAGTTATCAATATATTTAAGCATATTATGGCATAAAATATAAAGATAGATGAATTGAGAAATAGTTAGGGGTGAGAGATATGGGGTAAGAGATGAGGGTTTGAGGTGAGAATGGGGATGGGGGCATATATGTTGTATTCACAACGTTCAAAATATAAATGAATAATAAATTCAATAATTTAAGGGGCCAAATTCTCTATAAATTGTTTTTGGGTGAGATATTATGAAAACACTAAAATATTAGCCAGAAACTTGATATGTTTACTAGCCACCTTAGATACATAAAAATGCATCCCGTGGTGTTGCGGATTCGTACGCAAGCTGTTAAAATATACCTATGTGAAAACCTTTAATAGAGCCTTGCAAACCTTTGAATACATTCAACATGACTAAACTAATAATAGTAGGTAACGCTTCGCGTTTAAGCAGATAATGATCTACACTTGTACATTTTATGTTATTTCGTTTTAATGTTTATTTTTAGAACTAATCACGGTAACCAATTATTGTTATATACTACAGATACTTGTATACCGATAAAATAAGTTAAAAGGCAAATTTGGGCGAAAAAAACAATATTTGATTTACAAATTTTCACATGTTACATATTTTTCACAAAAAGTGCGAATTTTTTCAACGGTAATATACACAGGTTACTGTGTTTTTCATAAATATAATTGGTTTGACTAATCTTAGGCAATAAAAAAACAATAATTAGTAGTATCTATTTTTTTTTAATGGTATAGTATTGAAATAGCGTTAAATGTTATCGAATTTAAAAATGTATTTAAGAAATGTACTATGCAGAATGGTAGTGTGGCCAAAAACAAACAACATTATACTTTTGATGTTTTTGCTTTCGCTTTAAAACATTTTTCGATACGCATAATCTTGTGCATAATACCAGACGATTTATTTTTTCATAGCTACACATAGTCGATACTTGAGTTATTGAAGTTTAAAAAGAAAATTGTGTGTGTACACATGAATTTGGCCCAACGCTGCCATCGTGAGTTGGTTTCTTGACGAATTCGCTTACCGAGACAGTCACAACAGTTAAAAAAGATTGAAATGACTGTGTATACAAAGTATACAAATCCTAAAACGTACAACTGACTCGAGAATAATTTAAAAACAGTATGTAAAAAAATGTAACAAACATGCACAGGGTGACTTTTTTTTATCAAGGGCCACTCAACATCTCTCTGGGATTAACAGCTAATAATTACATTTTTCAGTGTTTTCATATAAACTGACCACAATTTTCCAATTATGTTTATGTTTAACCTACTCCCTTCCAAAGTGATTATTTTCACACCAACTTTTGAAACTTAAACAATGATAACGCATACATTGCGTTGCCTTTAAAATTGAGAATAATGTACAGTTATAATAATTTTAACTGGTCAAAGTTGCTATAAAAAAAAAAAAGGTAATTTGAAAGGCGGTGAGAACATAACAAATTTGTGGAAAATTGAGAGATCACATTATAAAAATACAAATGAAAAAAAAAACTATTGAATTATTGACTGAACACGGTGAGATTTAGAGTTGCCCACCATTAAAAAAAATCACCCTGTACACGTTATTTATTTTATAATAAACAACCACGAGAGTTGCTTATGTTTTTCCAGATGCCTATTGGATTTGCATACTGCAAAATAATTGAATATTTTCATTTTACTTCTTTAGTTGACTCATCAACACACCGACTTTGCTACTAGTTGCAAGAAAAACGTTCTCGCATAAAATGTAATACAAGCTTTTTGGCAATACTTTTTTCGGTTATGTGCCAGAGCTAAGACATGAAAATGTCAAAAAAGCAACGTTATAGATAGGTATAGAGAAGTTAAGTTCCAATAAGTATATGAGACAAGGGTGTGAACAATATTAAATTGTTTGTCGTTTCTTACCTTGTCCATATTTCGGACTGTATGGGGGTGGAACTAAACACAAAGAACATAATTAGTTTTCTAGTTCTAGTAGAAAAAAAAAATATTATATAACTGTACAGATATCGAGTTAAAATTATGTATCCACAAAAATCACATCCTCAACGACTAAAACTAGATAAAACGTATAACGTGTATTAGTTGTTAGTTGGTACGTACTTTGTCCATATTGTCCAGCTTATGGAATTAAATATAAAGAACATTAATTAGGTATTATTATACATATATTGTCATATTATTAAAAGACCTCAAGAAAAAAAAATTATATTTTTCAAACAGTGAATAAAAGTCGTATTTTATATAGAAATGTATTTTAGAAAGTAATTATTACAAATTAAAAATAAAAAAACTAATTTTTTCAATCAATTGTTTGTGTTTGGAAATTATATAACAAATGTTAAGATTTTTTACTTAAAATAATAATTGTATTTAATGAAATATTATAATCTTTTTACCATAAAAAAGTTCTTTAATTGAAACTTATATACAAAATGTTTATTAATAACGTGCCTTTAATTATCATATAACTTACTTTTTTTTAAATATTTTATATATTTCTCATGTTCTAAATGTAAAAAAAATAAAATTAGGTAACTGTATGGTAACTATACCATGTACAGGGTGATTCATTTTGGGTAGACAGTTTAGTTATTTCTTATAACGATCTTACCCAAATTCTGTGTGTCTTATATACATTACGGACGTTTTATCCGTATAGGAAAATATTAATATCTTCCAAGAAATCGAATGTCTTACCCAAAATGAATCACATTGTATACCTAACTATACCGACCTTTCTTTGCCTTTTTCTTTGCACCACCTAATCCGACAAAATATATAAAGAAAATTACAGTTTGTTAACTATATAATGACATAACGGTATGTAGAATATTATTAAGTGACAAATTGTGCACTTATAATCAATTATAAAATAATTTATAAATAATCTATCGAGTAAGGTATATTATCTTAACGTGACGACTAATGTGTATTATGTTAACTTCGGATGACCAAATTAAAAATGTTGTATTGTTAAAAAAAAAAATATTACCCAATGCCGTTGCCAAGATGATGGCAACTAAAAACAAAATAGCGATTTTTCGCATCTTACAACGTTGTGAAAGTTTCCAATACTTCGAGCAGCACTTTAAGTTCAAAGTCGTCCAAAGGAGAACTCAATAATCGCACAGTGAACAACTAAACTGAAACACCAGATACAGTAAATCATTTGAACAAGTGCCACTCTGACTAGATAAAAGCGGGTTTGTTTAAGTATGACGCAAAAGACAATATAATAATTTGTAATTTGCAATGTACCGCAAAACAAACACAAAATATGATAAACTTAACCCAGGAAAAAATGTGTGAGATGAAGCATGCATTTTGTCAACAATGAGCAATATCGTTAAAACTAATAAATTGTCTAGTATTTGAATATATATTTTCATTTGTTTAAATTTTTTTCTATCTAGTCTAAGTAGCAGCTATATGAACAACATAATATGTACTTTAACCATTTTTATTTTGTTATACAATTTATCATTGCATAACAATGATAAATTGTGTGTAAATTGACTCCATTAATGAAGCATAAAAGAATTTGACGTTTTGTCTGTCATGTCCATTCAACTCAAGATATTATTGAACTACCTTTATATGCATTAGTTCTGTCATTGTTTAAAATGCAAATATTTTATATAAAATAGTTCAATCACCGTTGCAACATCATGGAAAATTATAACCTCAAAGAACTGTATCAAAATAGAGTTAATTAGTTAAATATTCCTACTTCAAATGTGGGCGGAGAAAAACAAAAAATAAAAGTCTCCTCTATGATTTTAAAAGATACTCTGAATTAATTATCAATTAAGTATTTAAATTAAATTAATTAATTAAAATAGATCCTTTCAGAATTTTAGTTGTATTATAATATATACCTATTGATTTATGTATAAAGAACTTATTGTTTCCTTAGAAATTAATTGATGTATAATTAATATCTATATTAATCTAATTAATATCTATATCTCTATATACAGGGTGATTCTTTTATCATGGGCCACTCAACATTTCACCGTGCTTAATATATAATTGAATTGTTTATCTTCACAGTGATTTTATATAATGTGATCTCAATTCTCCATAAACTTTTATGTTCCTACCCCCTCCCAAATAAGTTTTTTTCATAGCGACTTTGGAAACTAAAATGATAACGTATATATTTTATTAACTTTTTAAATTAAAATTATTTTACTAACAATTTTGATTGGTTGATAACCAGTTTTGAACCACCATTTTTAAAGTTATAAGAGTTATTTATTTATTGCATACGACATTTTTCGGCTTAACAGTCTATACGAATAATAATAATAATTACAAAAATGAATAATTAAAACAAATCAATAATAATTATGAAGACAACAACATTAACAGCGGTAATGATAGTAGATAAATAGGTAACAAATAAAGAAAATATCGCAAAAGTACAGCGAGTTCACCAAGCCATTTGGCGGATGCAGGGCCGTCTTCGTGCAATTGGACTAACCCTCTTTCTCACTTCATGTTAATACATGACTGGACTATGTGACTGACGGATTGTTTGTACGAGATAGCCTTCGAAGGTCAGGTCAGGAGGCAGCTATGTTTGATAGAAACGGTAACCATTCGCGGTTTGTGTAGATTTCGCAGTTCCTAAGATGATGATGCGCAATATGGCATGATTCAGCTGTACATTGCAACTTTTTTGCAGTGCGCACTTGTCTTAGAAACCCATTTTCTATGTGTGCAGCTTGGTCGCAGCAGTTTCTGTTTTTTTTCCAAAAACCTGCCTGTTCAACTGGCCAGGATGCTAGAATCAGTCATTCGAAGATTTTGTACGTTGATGATGGCGGTGAATATAATTCTATAATTCTTAGGTTCAGTGGGTTCCTTATTGAGCTTTAAGATGGCTATAACTTTGGATTCGTGCCGAGATATTGGGATATTATTCGTGTTTACTGTATTAGTGACTAGTGTTGCAATCCATCTAATGCCACTGAGCCCAAGATTTTTTAGGAATTCTGAAGGCACGCCATCTGTTCCAGCCGCTTTTCCATTTTTAACCGTTTTCAACGCATTTTGGACTTAACTAAAGTTCAAAATACTAAAAATATCCTTCGTTCATCGTTGATTTTGCAATATTGTAAATTGTGATACTCATTAAAATAGGTTTATTTAAATTTAAAACATTTAAAATCAAAGATACAATACATACAAGTCGAAATATAACTTGACTTGCTGTTTTAACTAGTTTGAGAGACCAAAAACGTAATGGATAATCTTACAATGAGTAAAAATTTTAATTTATTTTTTTCAGGTTCTCCTAGTTTTTTTTGGAAGGGGGGGGGTTGATATTGTTAAACAACCGATAAAAAGTTGGTCATAATATTGTAACTATTTACACTAGTTAAGCGGATTATTGAAAATTATCACTACAAAAAAAGCCGTACCTTGTAGTCCAAAATATATATTACTATTTCAGACAATACTTACTTTAAGGTTATAGTAATTTGCTTGTCACACAAATAGAATGTTACCCTCAAATACCTAATAAAAAAATAGGCAGTGCCTATTTTAAAAAGCTTACAAAACCAACAACCGCTTACGTTTGATATTTAAATTAGGTACAATTTTAATTTTATCATTATAGTCTTTTACACAAAAAACATTTGTTATCTGCTTCTTTGACAAGTCAATTTATTTTTAACATCAGTTTTATTAGTTAGATATAACTCAATATGAAAAACAACACATTTTTAATTTGCCAAATGGTAAAATTTTAATATGGTAATTGAGTGAATACATATATAATTTCCGTTTAGTGAAAGTTTTAACATTTTAATGATAGTTATATTGTATTATTGGATACTGGAAGTGATTACGACACCTTTGGACCATTTCTGTAATCAGAAAAACGTTATTATCATTTATAGCACAAATTAAAGTAATATGAAACTAGTTATCGGACTCTCATTATTTTCATAATGTTACTTTTCATGTAGGTCACGATAAGATCTACAAAAGCTACCTCATTAAAGTATTCTTAAGCAATTGATTTGCTTGAACGATATAAAATGTTTTTTATAATTTATAATGTTCATAATTTTATACATCTTTTTCAGTTAAAACGATCGTTATTCAACAGATTATATTTAACATAATATATAATAATATGTACACTACCTATATAAATCTAATATGTACTGGAATTTGTGTCTATAATAGTTTTTTATCAAGCTATTTGGTTTTCTTTGATAGGAAAAAAATGTAATATTTAATAAATTAAGTTACCTCATCATGAATGACGATGGCAACTATTATGGTAATGACTACCATATGGTTACTTTATGACTTTATGAAGAGCATTTTTCACCTTTCTTACGAGACCAGTACCATTACCTTGATATTGATTATAAGCATTATAACCTGAAATGTATTGATTTATTTGTTAAATGTATGTATATACCTGACAATTAATAATAATGCAAGTGAATTAGACCCCACATCGTATGCTAGTGCATATGTTATGCATTATGTAATCTGATGAGAAAAATTGCATAGACTAATATTTTTTTTTTATATATATAAAAATGAAGTAAACAATTGTTTACCATGAAATAATTTATTCGAAAATAAATAAGACATATTTGGTTCAGAAACAATAATTAAAAAAAAAAAATATTATAATAAAAACATATCATTATCAAATTAATACCCTCTCAGTACTGCATCGAAGATAAAATGTTATTATAATTTATTTAAAAAACTAAGTAAAACGTAAGCACTTATATATAACGTTTCTGTAGCTATTTAGTTATTACATAATATTGCAAATGGCACAACAAATAAGTCTAAAGAAAAAAACAATTGATAAAAAAAAACGTTATTTTTATTTTTTTTTTTACAATAATTTGTCTTTGTAAAGTAAGTAAGAAATACATATTTATGTTGAATAAAATATATTCTCCTTTGGAATTAAAGGGTTCTATATAATAAAAATAATCGATATTTATGGAATAAAAAGTTCTATAATTAAAATTTTAACAAAAAATGTATACAAAAACTAAGTTAGCTTTGTAAATGTGTAGGAACTATTAATTTTAACCATTTAAGTGGCAATAATTTCTAATCAGAAAAAAAAACACTAAGAACCTTCCCAAAACCTTCTCAGTTTCCCATCGAATTCAATATGTATATAAATTATAATTCATAAAACAAATTATGTAAAACACTTCGATGCCAATCAGTAGGATGTACCTACAAGTATTAATTAGGTATAGATTAAAATTAATATAAGAGAAAACTTTTTTAGCTTGCATTTATTTCCTAGTTGTTACTAACCTTGTGGATTTGGCACACCATGTGCATATGGCACACCTTGAGCATATGGCACACCTTGAGCATATGGCACACCTTGTGCATATGGCACACCTTGTGCATTTGACACAACTTGTGGTAATTGCACACCTTGTGGGATTAAATATGAAGAACAAAATTAGTTACCTGAATATGTTTCTGTTTGAGCGTTTGATTCAATGAAAATATGACGTTATACGGTATTCCCCCAATTTATTAAGGAACTCACTTCGGTATAAGTCATATTTTGCAAAATTTTCATTAAACGTTTACTTTTTAGAAGAAGTAAACTATCAAAAAAAAATATGTCCAAGAAAAAAAGGTACTAGCAAGGTGGGCTTATAATGATTATTAATTCACCTTGGACGCTAGATACAATAAGAAATCATTTTTATCACAAAAAATCATATACAAAGAACTATAATTAGCTGTACAATTTGCTACTGACTATTCTGTTTAAAATATTTGTGCAATATTTATTTAATATTCTCATAATATTCGTTAATTTTCAATGAATTATTATTTATTATGTCTTTTGTATTTGTATAGTATAAGTTTATAATTCAAACATATTATACTAATATAGAAACTAAGTACTTATGTCCAGGTTTTAAGACTTTAATACTATTTATTATGAAAAATGTAGTCAAGTTCTGATAGTGAAATATATACTAATGAAAAATGTGAAATATTATCTGTGTAAAATATATTAAAATTAATGATTTCTCTTTTAAAATGTAAATAATACATATTATTAGTATCGCATGGTTTTTATTTTACCCTAAAAGACTTAAGTCTTTTCGTGGGTAAAATAAAAACCATAGGGCTAAGTTCTGCCCCATAGTTAAGTACCAATTGATTTATTTTACAGTAACTATAACTTCATAGTATATACTGACCTCCTGCGTAATTAGGTGCCATTACACCACCTACATGAACATGATTACACAAAAAAAAAATTATTATTTACAAACTTTAATTGGACTTTATGGTATATGGGTAACCAAACAATGAAGTTTGTATCGCTTTCATAGTAACTTCATAAGTGCACATTATTTTTTACCGTTATTTTACGTTACTTACCATGTCCATATGGCTGAGCTTGTGGACCTACAAAAAAATGAAAAGCCGGTTATTAATATATTCCATATTGCATAGACTAAAAAGATAGAAAAATTATACACAAGTTATAATCAAACTAAGTTTGTTACTAAATATTTTATCCCCTCGGAATAATTAATAATTAAACTTAAATATAAAAACTTTTACAAAAACTAACATTTAGAATTTTCGTTTACTTGAACTTAGCTGTTACTTACCATACTGATATCCCACATTGTGTAGGCCTGAATAATATTAAGAACAAAATTAATTATCAATATACTTAAGCATATGGTATAGAATATAAAGATAGAAGAATTATGAAAAAATGTTATACTTGAATGAAGCGGCTTTAGAAAAAGGGAACAAATGTTATAGATAGAATGAAGTTAAGTTCCAATATGAGACAATGTTGTCAACTTATAACTGGATTTATTCATACATGGAAATGTCTTTTAAGAAGTAAGGACTCGATGAATTCTTATTAAACTGTTTGTTGTTTCTCACCGTGTCCATGTATCGGACTGTATGGGGGTGTAACTAAACATAAAGAACATAATTAGTTTTAATGTGAAATTATACAAATACAACATACTAGTAGTTTATAATAAATTATATTCTATAATTGAAGTTAAATATGTTTCTGTTTCTTGAGCGTTTTTCAATGATAATAGAGTTAAGTAAGGAAGAAATGTACTGGACAGATAAATACTGTTTGTTGTTTCTCACCTTGTCCATGTATCGGACTGTACGGGGGTGTAACTAAACATAAAGAACATAATTAGTTATCAATGTGGAATTATACAAACATAATATACTAGTAGTATATTATGTATTCTATTCTATATTTGAAGCTAAAAATGTTTCTGTTTCTTGAGCGTTTTTCAATGATAATAGAGTTAAGTAAGGAAGAAATGTACTGGATAGATAAAAATTTAACTGTTTGCTGTTCCTCACCTTGTCCATGTATCGGACTATATGGTGGTGTAACTAAACATAAAGAACATAATTAGTTATCAATGTGGAATTATACAAACATAGTATACTAGTAGTATACTATGTAGTAATTATATATTCTATTCTATATTTGAAGCTAAAAATGTTTCTGTTTCTTGAGCGTTTTTCAATGATAATAGAGTTAGGTAAGGAAGTAATGTAGGTACTGGATGAATAAAAATTAAACTGTTTGTTATTCCTCACCTTGTCCATGTACCGGATTGTATGGGGATGGGACTAAACATAAAGAACATAATTATTAATAAAATCAATGTGAAATTAGTTTGTTCTAGTAGAAATAAAATAGTATTATCATTGTATCTATGCACATTGTATTAAAATTGTGTATTTACAAAAAAATCACAAATTTAACAACTAAAAACAAGTAAAACGTGTATTAATTGTTAGTTGTTAGGTACGTACTTTGTCCTAATTGTCCAGCTATTGGAATTAAAATATAAAAAACATTAATTAGCTACTATTATAAATGTATATTATTATGTAACGTATTATATTGTCATGTAAACTGTTAAAAAGTCCCAAATAAAAACAGTGAATCAAATTGTATTTTTGTATAGAAATGTATTTTATAAAGTAATTATTACAAATTAAAAAAAAATATAATTTTTTTCAAATAGTTATTTATGTTTAGAAATTAAACAACAAATGTTAAGATTTAAATATAAACATAAGACTTAAAACATTTTACCTCTTCGGAATAATAGGGTTGTACTTAATGAAATATTTTATCTTTTCACTACAAAAAAGTTCTTTAATTGGAACTTCTATACAAAATGGACAAACAAAACTAAGTAAATTTATAACGTGCCTTTAATTAACAGATAACTTACTTTTTGCTAAGTGTTTTATGTATTTTTCATGTTCTAATTATAAAAAAATAAAATTAGATAACTGTATATACTATGCTATGTACAAGGTGCTTTATTTTGAGTAAGACACTTGATTTCTCAGAAAATATTATCACTTATTACTTAGATGAAAAAAAATCCAGTTTTTTTTTGGGAAAACACATTTTTCATTGTTTCGAAAATTTTTATCCCCAAATCTTATAAGAAAAAGGCAAGCCAAATGCCAACATTTGAATAAAAAAGTGTGTTATGTTACGATTAACTTTTAATAATTATTAAAGCTTATATTTGTGTATGTGAGTAAATTGAGTTGACAATACTTAACGTTAACACATCTGTTATGAATTTATTTTTTGAAAATATGAGAAATTGTGGTAATTATAGTTAAAACTAAACTAAAAGCAGACGTTTACAAAAATATTTACATCTTTCAAGAAATCGAGTGTCTTGTCCAAAATGAAATACCCAATGTTTACCGACCTTTCTTTGCCTTTTTATGTGCATCACCTAATCCAACAAATTATACACAGCAAATTACTGTTTGTTAACTATATAATGATGACATATAAAGGTATGTAGAATATTACAGGGGAAAATTGTGCACTAATCAGTTATAAAATAATTTATAAATAATCTAATAATCAAATTGAAAACGTTGTATTGTAAAAAAAAAAAAACAAATATTACCCAATGCTGTTGCCAAGACGATGGCGACTAAAAACAAAATAGCGATTTTTCGCATCTTACAACGTTGTGAAAGTTTCCAATATTTTCGGAGCAGCACTTAAAGTTCAAAGTCGTCCAACCGAGAACTCAATAATCGTACAGTGAACGAGTAAAATGAAACACCGTACACTATATATTATTTTAACAAGTGCCACTCTGACTGTAGATAAACGCGGGTTTTGTAAAAATGATGACGCAAAAGACAATATAATAATTTGTGATTTTCAATGTACCTACCACAAAACAAACACTAAACATGATTAACTGTACCTAGGATGGAACTTGTGAGATGAAGTACCTGTGCATTTTGTCGGCAATGAGCAATACCGCTGAAACCGTTAAATCTAGTCTAGTATTTGAACATATAATTTTCATTTGTTTAAATATTTTCCTATCTAGTCCCAGTGGCAGCTTTTTGAACAAACATGTTTACTCTGACCATTTGTATTTTGTTACAAAATTTATCATCTATTTTTGTGACCTATATCCGGCTACAATATTCTTCGGTGGCCGTACCCGTCCCTTAAGAACAAAGGCATAATATATTGGCCACGCGATAACTACACTGTTTGTATTAATCGTGCGTTGGGAACGTTGAACTGTATGCACGCGTTATGTAATACAATAGAATATATTTTGTCACCATAATAAAGATTTCAATGCAAAACCGCTTACGGAAAATATGGTCGTTCTTATTGTTTTCCTAAGCCTAAGAGTAAATAGTACCTATACGAATAGGCGGTTTTCATTTGTTTACATTGCATAACAGTCGTTGTGAAAAATACCGTTTACAGTAAAAACTGATATGATATATTGTACATAAATATTTATTAAAATAAAATATACTAGTTTTATACAAACAATTAGACACTTGAGTACCCTTGCGTATGTATCCCTGCACATGCAAATGTCTCAAGGGGTCAACCACCATATTATCACTAAAAGTGTTTTTAACAATTCAAAATAGTTCAAGGCTGAAACCTTGTATAGCTGGGAGGTTCTTTGTTGACTTACAAAATTGTTTTTGGAAAAATTAATTTGGTACACTATTGCACTATTGTCTTGTGTTCTAGTAAAACCGTTTCTTTATCATTCTCCTTAAATCTTATTTCACACAATATAATAGGTACGCTTTAACATTGTTTTTATCATATTTTAAATTGTTAATAAATGTATTATATTATTTCAGGATATATTAAGGCGATGTGATAGGCGGATGGAGTTTTTATATAACATTATAAATAAAAACTCTCTAAGTGATATTAATATACTCTACTTCAGGAATAAAAAAAATATAATTTACCTATTATACAGGGTGTCCCATTTTAAAAAACGTATCTATTTTTCTCCAAAAATACTAATTATATCAAAAAGTTGTATATTAGAGACTTTTAGAGTACAAAGGTACGTACACACACCAAGGTTACTTCACACGACAAGGTTATCATAAGTATCAAAATAAAATAACCAAACTAAAAATAGCTAAAGAGACTTAATTTGCAAATTATGGGGTTTTCCATTAAAATTATGGGTTTTACCGAAACATTTTTCCTAGAAAAGTTGTCAGTTTTGATAAGATCATTTGTTTGGTTAACAAAAAATACACGGTTTCCATTTAAAAAAAAACATGTTATTGACCGTAAGTCAGTTATTTTGAATTTTGGACCAAATATGTTTTTTTTCAACGTTTCCCCTATATACAGGGTGATCCAACTAACGTAAGACACTCATTTTCTCTGAAAGTATGAATATTTTGCAAATTTTTTTTTCCCTAAAATTTTAGGTACATATTTAGCTACATTTTTCAATATTTAGAAAAATTTTATCTTCAACCCTTATACGTTAAATAAGTACGAACCTCGTTTTTTCAAATGGGAACATATGTTTTAAATTCCATAAATATAAAGACAAAAAATCTAAAAAAATGTTAGCGTTTGAATTTTTAATTTTCATCCATTTGTTCGCTGTTTATGACTTTGTAAAGATTTGAATTTTTGTCTATATTTCTTAATAATTTCATTCGATTCGACAAAGACAAGTAGTTTTATTACGACGGTCATCACATCAAATATAATAATAATTTGATGTTAACGCATTCCGTATCATAATCAGATATAATAAATAACCATACATTATTAGACGAAAGGTAGACTGTTACGGATAACGGACTTTACACTTTAACCTAATCTAGCTGGAGCTAGTCATTAGCTGGTTATCTCGGATAACAATATAGTATCTAAACTATGTATCAGTTACCACGGAATAATCGAGTGACCAGTACCCATAATATATTTTATTATTTGTACAAAATCGCATTATATTTATTATTTGTACATAACCTCATCGCTAACAAATTTCGACTTCGAAGTTCACACGTTTACATTAGTGAAATGAGGAATTGCAAACTTAATTAAAAAATGTTAGTAAATTTACATTTTACTTTATAGTAAATATGATAGCATGCTTATTGTAGTTATGTCATAACTCGTTATTTTATAATTTTTTAAATATATTAATTGATAATATTTGCTCTCGACTTTATTTTGACGTTACATTCTTGGACACACCATTAATTTAATAGGTAAGTGTATTAAAGTTTAATAGATAATTTAATACAATACGAATTCAATTAGCTTTTTTATTTTAGGTTGAATGCTTTTTTCCGAAAATCTTTTATCATTTAAAAATCAATGTTATCATGTCAGAAATATCTATGGCGTTGAGAATAGGCTATACCAATTACTATGGAAATGTCTTTTCAATTGGACCCAAGACTGAAGACCTTACAATTTTATATTAAGGTGTAAATTATAAATATAAAGCATTAATTTAATAGGTAAGTTTATTAGAGTTTAATGGGTAATTTAATACAATACGATTTCAATTAGCTTTTTTAATTTAGGTTGAATGCTTTTTTACTGAAAATATTTCATCTTTTAAAAACCAATGTTATCATGTAAAATTGGATTTGAGTATGACATATCAATTGCTATGGAAATGTCTTTCCAATCGGACCCAAGACCTTACATTTATATATCAAGGTGTAAATTATAAGTATAAAACATTTATTTCTAATGTGACATTTTTTCATGTGAATGTATAATATCAACACTAAGCAATTTGAATGAAAAGTGTGTTGTGTTAACTTAAAATAATTATTAATGCATGTATTTGTGTATGTGGGTTGATAATACTCATATACCTGTTTCATTTATTTTTAAAAATATCAGTAATTAATGTATGAATTTCATACTACTACATACAAGGAATCACTTCTTGATTATACCATTATTTATAATAATATGTAAGTATATTATTTTTATTTGATTAAACTTATCTAAGGTAGTTCAAATGTCTGCTTTCAGTTTAGTTATTTCTTACAATGATATAACCCATATATTGTGTGTCTGACATACATTACGGATATTTTATCATAAAGTTTTAGCTATAACTGACACAGGTATTTGGCTATCAAAGTTAAATTTTATATCAAATTAATTAATATACAATAATTCTCTCTTTAAAAAAGTAGTAATTCTATTAATTTGTATTTAATGAATTCAGTAAATCAAGTAAATTATTTTTTTGAACTTGCCTAAGATAATTCTTATAGTTAATTTTATTTATTGAATTTTGATTTTGTTAGATTTGTTTAATTACCAACGATTGTTAAAAGAAAAAAATTTAAATCAGTATTATAGAAGTTGAACAATTTCAAATGTATAGATATTGTTTTTGTTTAATATTTTTTATTGAATATTTTCAAAATAGTAACATTTGTAATTTTTAAATTTATTGTTGTATTAATAAATAGTTTATGAATATTTTATTAGTTAAATACTTATATTATCAGACAAAAGATTATTATTGTTCTTTAAATGTTATACTATACTATATGTTTGTCGTTGAAATTTATCAACACAATTGTTTGACTATGTGTTATCAATGTTCAAATTTTGTAAAGTACACAGTAAAAATTAATAAAAATTGTTTTTTAACTCTTTAAAGTAGGAAAATTGTCGCATACGCATTACAGCAAATATTCTTTTAACCATTATTTGCATCATTAAAGGTAAACAAATTTTATTTTTAACAACTATGCATTATAAGTTAGTATAATTGATTTTATAATTATTTGTATTTATACATAAATATAGTATACATGTATGTATGTGTATAAAATCAGACAAACTTGTCGCGTACAAATTCCATAAAATTGAAATCCTTAAAAATGTGTTTTATTACAGAATAATTGTTAAATTTAGATACTACAATTTAGCTAAGGCTATTTTTGATTTAATATTGCCACTTTTACATAATCTTAGTAAAACGTACCCGTTATAATAGTTTAATAATGTCAATACTTTAATTTGTATAGTAAACAAGGAAATATCAGATAATGGTTTTCTTTTTAAACAACTAAAATCTATTAAGCTTTTAATTTTCTAGATATTAAATAGTGAAGAAAATAATAAAAATAAGAAAATACTGATTATACATAAAATCAAAATAAGCAGATTCAACTGTAAAAGAATTAACTTTTCAATTTGAAATTTTTGAAACAGACATATTTTATTATAAAGGCTTTAGAATCACTATTATTATAACATTGTACACCTTATAAGTTATAATAATAATTAGTAAGTACTAATAAAAAGATTAGAAACATATAAACTATTTAATTTAATAGTTATTAATAAAATAAAAAAGACAAGTTCTGATAATTTAATGTTTGCGTGACACAAACCCTAACTTTATTTCTGAAGTTTGAGTATCACTGTGTGATTTTGTGTAATTGAGTCACAAACTATTGATCCATATTTTTATTAACAGGATCTTAATAAGAAATAACTTGACTTAAAAAAAAATGAAATATCAATGATGTTGAAAAATTTACCGTTACAGAAAAATCAAATCTTTTTTGCCAACAGGATGGGGAAAACAGAAAAAAAAGTATAAGTACTTTGAATCATAGTTTGGAACTACCGGCTTAAATTAAGTCGATAATTAATACAATTTCAAACTTAACTGTGATTTTGTTGTAGGTTCCTAAAACACTGTTTACAAACATCTAGTCTTTAGACAACGTAATCATTTAAACACAGTCCACTTTATTGCATTATTTTTTATTAATAAAGTTGTTTATATAATAAAAAAAAGTTAGTTATAAATGTAAAATAAGCAACATTTTAAATATTTACTGTAGAATTAAAATAGTAAGCAAATTAAATCCAAAATTCCTTATTTAGTGTAAATTGTTTAAAACAATTATTTGAGCACAACATATTTTGAATAAATTGAACATAACTAAACAAATAATAGTAACGCTTCGCGACGCTTGTCCATTCAATGTATGCACTTATGAGATTGTAAGCCAAATTTTAAAGCTATTGTTTACTACCCATAAAAACTAAAAATTATAATTTTCAAATAGCATAATAATGATCTGTTGTACTGTGCTGTTACTTGTTGAATGTAGAACATAGATAGTAGAAAAATATGATAACTAATGATAATAATATTTTGTATTATCATCATAGCAGCAGTTATCAACCTACTTGTACCACGGTTTTTGATTGTTGTGGTTAAATAGCCATTCGTTAGCTGCTGTCAATATAGGTCTGTCAACCTACCTGTCATGACGATGTGTTAGAAAAGTCGGTAATCTATAAATATAAAACGCTGGTCAAACAAAATATCACAAAACATTTTATTGTGTTTGGTTATCTGTGTACTCATCTATCGGACAATGCGATCATAAATAAGTATTTTATTGGCTCCCGGTCTTTGGAAAACCAAAGAAATATAACAATATTTAAGAGAAAATGTAATATCTTTACAAAGTCATAGCTAACGACTAGATGGATAAAAATTAATAATTCAAACGATAACATATTTTAAAATTTTTTGCCTACAAATTTATGGAATTAAAAACATATGTTGCCATTTGAAAACGTGAACTTAGACCCTTTTTATCGTATAAGGGATGAAAATAAAAATTTTCGAAGCATTGAAAAATGTAGTAAAACTTATACCTAAAAGAATAGGAAAAAATGTTTTTTCAAAATATTCATATTTTCCGAGAAAATGAGTGTCTTACGTTAGTTGGATCACCCTGTACTCTAAAAGTCTCTAATGAGCAACTGGTGACATTAAAATGACTGGTGCACGTTTTTGCATTCAGAATTAGACCTAAGTTGTCCAATTAAAAACTAAAAAGTAGATTTTATTTGTCTGTAAAAAAAATAATTGCTGGTAAAAAAACAACTTGGTTTATATCTTACAAAAGTGAATCTTCCAAATTGGTGTTGTCAATGAATAAAAACTCATTGTCACAGATGAAACCATTAAAAACGCATCAGAACCAAGCACATTTGTTATCTTTTCCCAAGCAACTTGTATTTAATAACAAAAATGTTTTTTGAGATCAATACTAATATGTATAGGTAAGTAGTAAAAAACAAGATAATATTTTCAATTGTCCGAATAGCAAAAGTTTATGATTTTATTATAATTTAGTGAAATGTAATTTAGATTTTGGAAAAATGTACACAATCAAATGATAATTTGTATTGCACTTGAAATATAACTGGACATTCCTAAAGCATATTTGGGTCCTTTCTGTAACTAAAAAACATACACCTTTATTGTTCATAGGGAAATATAATTATTTTTCATAACGTTACTACTTAGAGCTGTGCTTATAACCAACTATTTTGTTTTATTAACCATATAAATCATTTTTGGTATATTAATTGGATATTGATTTTTATAAAACTTTTATTTTAACTGTAACTTGGTTTTCTTTATCATAAAAGAAAATCTCAAATTTTAAAAAAAACCATGCTATGCGTGTACAAGTTTGTTTTGTCTTTTCATAAAATCTCAATAAAATGTATTCTTAGTTTTTTGAAATTGTTCGTTACTCTCATTATTACCATGTGATAATAATACAAACATTATCCATAATATATAATAATTATTCTATATAAACAGTGTATATATTTACTTAAAATTTAAGTTACCCTATCGATTTAATGGTAGGGCTTAGGTTCACACATGTCTCATTGACATGACGGAGTCTGGAGGTTGAAGACATGGTGAATGAGTATCTAAATTCTAAATATAAAGAAAACAATCAGGTATCAATGAATTCCTCACATTAGTTAATCCATGTCAACTGATAGCAGGTTAATTAAATTGCTCCAGCTATACTGTATATTTCTAGCAGTATTCAGTACTCTTTGTTCTATTGGTATTAACATATTATATTATTTGTACGTAGAAATGCCATTACAAAAGTAAGGGGAAAATGTACTGGCAAAATTAATATTTAACTGTTTGTTGTTTTTCACCTTGGCCATATGACAGATAGTAAATTTTCGAAACAGTGAATAAAATTTTATTTCATATTTAAATTTATTTAATGAAGTAATTATTACAAATTTTAAAACGACTTATTATTTTCAAACAAGTTTTGATATTCGGTAATTAAATAAAAAATCCTAACCTTGGTCATATATCAGATTTCATGGGGGTGGGGCTAAATATGAAGAACAAAATTAGTTATCAATGTGAAATTACATAAACATATGTATTATATACTGTTATGTTATATAGATACTGTTACTGAATAAGTTTCTGTTTCTTGAGTGTTTATTTCAATGATAAAATGTTTAACATGCTTAGTTAGAAAGACGTTTTACACTTTATTTATTAAACAATTCACTTCGGCATAAGTAATTTTTTGCAAAAACTTCATTTAACGTTTTAACTATAATGTGTAATAAATACATTTTAATTTAAAAAGTTAATAGAATATACTCTACCTTTTAAAAAACTTAAATTTTGAAGTTTTAAACTTTATTTACCCAAAAAGGTAAAAAATAACGAATAAAGCTAGAATTAGTTACATTCACTCATTTCGCTAAATTTGGATACGCCAGTGACTATGTATAGTACCAAGTTGAAAATACTTTAATTTTAGTGGGTTATTTTAGATTAAGAAAGTAGAAGAAATGAACTTGAAAAACGCATTGAGTCGATATTTTAAAATATAATTTATATTTTTAGCTTCGATGCGGAGCTGAGAGTATACTGACTTTACAAAATTGGTCCCACATTCTTTATTTTGGTGTGTTTTAAAACGCTGAAACAATTTTTTCCTGTAGGCTGTAGCAACTTTTTAATCTCCCAAAGTATTAACAAATACGAACAAATCAACAACATCGAAAAATGTATGATATCTTTAAAAGTTAGTTTAATTCATTAACTATTAATTAATAATAATTAATTTAATTAGGCATGTAAGAATATTTAAACTCGAAAATACCCTAATTATGCAGTAGTGTTCTGAAATAATTTTTAAATGTTTTATAGTTGTGAGCTGTAGTAAGAAAACAAAACACAATTATTGTAAAAAATATTACAATCAGTAAATATTTTCTGCAAAGAACAGCCTAAAATAATAATAGAAGAAAGTTATTTTTCAAATAAAGTTTTATTAGATACCTAAATCAATTATATTGTGTTAAATATTAATATTATGCTATCTAATATATAACAGCATATAGGTAATTTTATTTACACAGTTTTCGATTTAAGCACATATTTGTTCATTTTAGTCAAGAATAAAAAGTAAACTTATATGGGTACATATGTTTCTACCAATTAACACTAAATGTAAATACTAAATACATTGGTATCTATTGGTAAAGTTTTCAGTCTTAAGTTACTCAATTTAACAGTAAAACTAAATTGCCAAATTATATAACATGTTGAGTACACGTTAAAAACGTATAAAACACATTGGTTTCACTAAATACCTTTGTGCAAGTGTGTATGATAATAATCAGTTATAATATTTAATAATGATAAGAAAACTAATAAAAATATAATATATCTGATATAAATCCTAAGTAAAAAAATTTGCAAAAAATTAACAAATCGATTTTTGAAAAACTATTTTGAAACTGCCAAATAGCCACGTGAGGTTTATGAATCTATGAGCCGTGTGCTTTTGCTTGATGACTTTTGAGAGAATCTTGGCGACCATATGATTTATCACAGACTGAGCATTTGTGTCGTACCCCACCAATATGTATACGTGCATGTCTCTTAAGGTGATATTGTTGAAGGAATGTTTTTTTACAGATATCGCATTTATACGGTTTCTCGCCAGTATGTATACGTGCATGTTTCTTGAGATCAGATTGTTGAATGAACGGTTTTCCACAGACAACGCATTTAAATGGTTTCTCGCCGGTATGTGTTCTTTCATGAGTTTTGAGGTGAAGACTTGTCTACCAAATGTTTTTTCACAGACATTGCATTTAAAGGTTTCTCCGGTATGCGTCATGTTTTGAGGTAGCTTGTTACAAATGTTTTTTCACAGACAGCATTTAAAGGTTTCTCCGGTTGTGTTCTTTTATGAGTTTTGAGGTTACATTGTCTATTAAAACATTTTTCACAGACATCGCATTTAAAGGGTTTCTCTCCGGTATGTATACGTGCATGGTTCTTAACGTGATATTGTGAAACGAATGTTTTTTTACAGATATCGCATTTAAAAGGTTTCTCGCCATTATGTATACGTGTATGTCTCTTGAGATCAAATGTTGAATGAAGGTTTTTTCACAGACATCGCATTTAAACGGTTTTTCACCAGTATGTATGCGTTCATGAGCTTTGAGTGATGTTGTCTACCAAACGTTTTTTACAGACATCGCATTTAAACGGGTTTTCACCAGTATGTATGCGTTCATGAGCTTTGAGGTGATGTTGTCTACCAAACGTTTTTTTACAGACATCGCATTTAAACGGATTCTCGACGGTATGAATACGTGCATGGTACTTGAGATGAATTTGTCGACTGAATGTCTCTTGAGATTAGATTCTTCAATGAATGCCTTTTCACAGACAACGCATTTAAATAGTTTCTCGCCGGTATGTACACGTGCATGTCTCTTGAGATCAGAATGTTGAATGGAGGTTTTTTCACAGACAACGCATTTATAAGGTTTCTCACCAGTATGTATGCGTTCATGAATCTTGAGGTGAGATATCTGACCAAATCTTTTTATACAGTCATCGCATTTATAGGGTTTCTCGCCAGTATGTATGCGCCAATGTCTTCTCAGGTTTGATTTTGATGAAAAAGTTTTCACACAAATACCACAATTAAATAGACCATCTTTGTTTTGAGTATACTTTTTGATTCTGCTGTTACGATGATTGACTTTATTTTTTTGAGGTGCTTTCTTTTCAATGGAAGTACTAGAATGTGATTTCGCAATGTGCCGGATTATATTACTTTTGGTTATAAACCTCCTTTGACATATATTGCAGTCGAACCGACGTAATTTGTGTATGTTTTTCTCAGAATCGTTTTCTATAGTTTTGTTCAAACTGCAATCCATGGTTTTTGTATTGTTTGAGGTATCGGTCGCTTTACACGGAAAATTAATACTGCAACATGTATGGAACATAATAGATTAATTTAAGACAAATATATTTTGATATTATACAGCAAGTATTAATATTACTAACATTAAATAAACAACGCAACATTTTTAAGAATTAATTTTATTGATTTTACATGACATACAATAATCTACTATTAAGGCTATTTTTATTTGATTGTGTTGCCTAAACTTATCCTATAAAATACAATGTAACGTTCGCATTTATTAGAATATGGACAATAAACATCCGAGTGCCATAAGATTTGAAACTTAAAAAGTGTACTCTATCTAAAGTCCACTTTTACATTGAGTACCTTAAGATTTTTAAATGACCGACGTCTTTTAACCCTTAACTCGGCAGAAATAAAAATTTCACATGAAACGACTAAATTAAATTTTTAACATGAATATGGCTTTTGGATCAGGGACATTAAGAAAATCTTTGCGTGCGTGCGTGAATGGCACTGAACGTTACAAAAGACAATGTGTGCGTGTGCCGCTATTAAGCGGATGTTTTGTAAATTAAAGAACTGATAAATAATTTTTAATGTCTGGCTAAAAAATAGAGATATGCGATAAGAGATATTATAGATAAGATATAAAATGTACGATATTGTAGATACAAACTGTAGAGATATAATATTAGAAATAAAATATTAGAGATAAGAAACGAGACATATCCATATAATAAATACCTCTTTGAAAAGAAAACAAAATGTAACTAATTAATAATATTTTTATAAAGTTTTAAGTATTTTACTATGAGGACATTACTTATAGTCTATTTCATTAAAATTTACAAATGTACAACGCATCATTTTTAAGAATTAATTTTATTGATTTTACATGACATACAATAATCTACTACTAAGGCAATTTTATTTGATTGAGTAGCCTAAACTTATCCTATAAAATACAACGTAACATTCACATTTGTTAAAATAAGGATAATAAACGTCCGAATAACATAAGATTTAAAATCTTGAAAGTCTACATTGAGTACCTTGAGACTTTTTAATGACCGACTTCTTTTAACCCTTAACTCAGCAGAAATAAAAATTTCACACTGAACGACTAAACTTAATTTTTAACATGGATATGGCTTTTGGATCGGGGACATTAAAAAAATCTTTGCGTGCGCGCGTGAATAAGACTGAACGTTACCGAAGACAATGTGTGCGTGTGGCGCTATTAAGAGGATGTTTTGTAAATGAAAGAGCTGATAAATAATTTTTAATGTCTGGCTAAAAATTAGAGGTATTATAGATAAGATAAGATATAAAATATACGATATTGTAGATACAAACTTAGAGATAAAATATTAGAAATAAAATATAAGAGATAAGAAACGAGACATACTCATTTAATAAATACCTCCTTGAAAAGAAAACAAAATGTATCTAATTAATAATTATTTTTAAAAGTTTTAAGTATTTTAATATGAGGACATTACTTAAAGTCGATTTCATTAAAATTTTCCGCTCAACTTTTAATTTTTAATTTTGATAATTAAAAATGAATTTAATAAAAAATAAACAAACGCTATTACTTATTACATTATTTTTTTTTTATAACTGTTAGCATTAAGTATTTATTTTAAAAAATCACACCTTTTTTTTTTTCATGTGTCGATGTATCGACGTGGATAGCGTGGATACTAACAGTTTTTTTTTACTATTTAATACCCATAGAGATCATTTTTGAATTTTTTTTTTTAATGAACATCTTTTTTATAATAGCGTCTATCTTAAGATAGACCACCTCATTGAATAATTCAATAGATGTATCTTTAAACATACACTACTTCATCGACCTATTAAGAAAAAAAACAATAATGCTATCTTACTTAATAGTTTATGATTTTGTAGAGAAGATATTAATCATTATACTATATTTATATATATATATATTTATAAATTTAAAATTATAAGTAATCGCTTCATTTTTTTATTTTTTTTCTTCATTTTTTGATACTTTGATTTAAAATTATATTGATAAAAGGCAGATGCGGTTTTAATTAAAATAATATATTATTATATTAACAAGCAGTTCCTAAAATAAGGATAATAATAGCGAAACGCTAACATCGATACGACTGATGGGTTTATCGAGGAGGATAACATAATTACAAAAGTATTAAAGTTTTGTTCAAGAAAAACAAAATGGTAATAAAAATAACCTTACTCATAATTATTGTCGACTTCATTCTTTACCAAACACTTATTTGTTGTAGAAATTTCATTGTTTATGAACTGCATATCAAACGGTTTAGTTTTAATGACTTCAAACGATTTTTCCAACAACTCTTCTTCTGTTTCATCATTTTCAGGTTTAATTTTCAATATATTAAACCGCTTTAAAACTCTATAATTGACATTTAACATTAGTTGTATTTCTGTGCTATATATGCATAGAGGATTAGTAGGACAACTAAATTCACAATTTTAATTATTTTATTTAGTAATAAATATAGTCTACTAATGATATATAAAGATAATTTAGTTTACATTTTAAATGGGAAAATTAATCATATTATAAATTTAAAAAAAATTAGATTAACTAATCTATTCATAAAAAATGTCTATTTAACAAAAATGAAATTTTTGATAGTAAAAAAACATGAATTTTAATATATAGTTTTTGTAATAAAAAATGACACTTATTCGCATTTTTTTTTAATTTAATAAAAGAATGAAAAATAATTGTAAAAATGTTTATATATATATTTATATATATAAATATATATAGTGTGCGTTTGTTTGATAACGAGTGATTGCCACAGATGGAGGTACTTTGTACCGTGAAGGTAAACTGTCGTGCATTTTCGGAGGCAAATAAATTAAATTCCAAACTCTTGTATCAAAGCTTATTAAAAGAAATAACACAATAAAAACCTTTTTTTTCAAATGCTTCTATATTTTACGATTTAAAACACTTAACAACTATAAACAATTATACTATATTTCTAAAAGTCTTTAACCATTAGACTGTATTAGTCTTAGTGAAATATCATTTTCATTTTAAGTACACTGTCTTAAACGAGCCTCAACATAGACATAGTAATTTAACAACCCGTCAAAGTAAATATATCACAATCAAAGAGGCGGATAGCCGATGTCTTAGATGAACATGTTGAGCCACGTCAAAATGGTGCATGCCCAAAAAAAAGTGGCACTTACGAATAGTTCTTTAAACATAGACGATATTTGACGAACACTTAAACAGATTGTTTATTATAGTCATATAATTTATCCATTTACATAAATCTTTTAAAATTCCAATATTATAGTAATTATTTGAAAAAAATTTTTATAAAAAATCCAATATAAGTCTCAATATAAAACTAATGTTGTTACTCTCAAACACGGTATTATGTTTTCATGGGAACTAATCACACAAATATATTGAACAAAATTATTTAATAATAAACGTATATATTGAAGTAGGCATATTCTCCTCACTTTCCCAAATGACATTTATTAATAATTGTCAGGTTTGGTTTACTGTCGTTCAAACTTAATAATTCTTCGAATTAAAAAACGAAAAACTTATTCTAAAAAATATGAATGAAACTAACATAATATAATCATAGTTGACGGAATAATAATACATTTTATTTTGAATTTTAAACATGGTCCGCATAATTCAACGCATAAAAATAAACAAATATTTTAAATTAAAAATCAATTTTAATAAACAAATTAACATATACTATAAAAAATTTTTCTTAAAAACCATCAGTAACTAAAAAAGACTACTAACATTTTATAATAAAAAATAAGAATAGTAACAATATTTTTTAGCATATTGTGTGTGTAGATTATGAAAATTAAAAAACTCATTATAAAAATTTAAATACTAAATAATTCATGTGATCCGTAGAAAAAAAAATTAAACGAATACTTATGTTATTGATCTGTTAAACGATAGTAATAAATAAAATATTATAAGAAAACTAATAAAAGTATACTAAATCTGTAATAAAGTAAAAAAAATTGCAAAATAACAACAAATCGATTTTGAAAAACTGCCAAATAGTCACGTAAGGTTTATGAATCTATGAGCCGTGTGCTTTTGCTTGATGCCTTTTGAGAGTATCTTGGCGACCATATGATTTGTCACAGGCTGAGCATTTGTATCGTACCCCACCAATATGTATGCGTTCATGAATTATGAGAGAGGACTTTTGACCGAATGTTTTTTCACAGACATCGCATTTATATGGTTTCTCACCGGTATGTATGCGTTTATGAATTTTGAGACTAATTAGTTGACTGAATGTTTTTTCACAGACAACGCATTTATAAGGTTTCTCACCGGTATGTCTTCTTTCGTGAGTTTTGAGGGTAGACTGTACATTAAAACTTTTTTTACAGACATCGCATTTAAACGGTTTTTCACCAGTATGGGTGCGTTCATGAATTTTGAGGTTTGATAGTCTACCAAATGTTTTTTCACAGATATCGCATTTAAAGGGTTTCTCCCCAGTATGAACGCGCCAATGTCTTCTCAGGCTTGATTTTAATGAAAATGTTCTTAAACAAATACCACAATTAAACGGTTTCTCGCCGGTATGTACACGTGCATGTTTCTTAAGATGAATTTGTTGAGTGAATGTTTTTTCACAGACATCGCATTTAATTAGTTTCTCGGCGGTATGTGTTCTTTCATGAGTTTTGAGGTTAAATTGTCTATTAAAACATTTTTCACAGACAACGCATTTATAGGGTTTCTCATCGGTATGTATACGTAAATGTCTCTTGAGGTCAGATTGTTGAATGAACGCTTTTTCACAGACACGGCATTTAAATGGTTTCTCGGCGGTATGTGTTCTTTCATGAGTTTTGAGGTTAAATTGACTATTAAAACATTTTTCACAGACAACGCATTTATAGGGTTTCTCATCGGTATGTATACGTAAATGTCTCTTGAGATTAGATTGTTGAATGAATGCTTTTTCACAGACTTTGCATTTAAAGGGCTTCTCGCCGGTATGTATCCTTTTATGAATTTTGATGTAAGATTGGTCGCAAAAAGCCTTTTGACAGACATCGCATTTAAACGGTTTTTCGACGGTATGTGTGCGTTTATGAATTTTTAGGTATTGTTGTGCACCAAATGTTTTTTCACAGACATCGCATTTAAACGGTTTCTCGCCGGTATGAATACGTGCATGTCTCTTGAGAGCAGATTGATGACTGAATGTTTTTTTACAGACATCGCACTTAAAAGGTTTCTCGGCGGTATGTATACGTGCATGTCTCTTGAGATTAGATTGATGAATGAATGCTTTTTCACAGACATTGCATTTAAAGGGCTTTTCCGTGTGAATGCACGAATGTCTTCTCAGGCTTGATTTTAATGAAAACGTTTTTAAACAATTACCACAATTAAATAGGCCATCTTTGTTTCGAGTATTTCCTTTGATTTTGCTGTTAGGATGATTGACATTATTTTTTTGAGGTGTTTTCTTTTCAATGGAATGCGATTTCGCAATATGCCGGATTATATTACTTTTGGTTGTAAACCTCCTTTGACACATATTGCAGTCGAACCGACGTATTTTGTATATATTTTTCTGAAAATGATTATCTATAGTTTCGTTAAAACTACAATCCATTGTCTTTGTATTATTTGAGATATCTGTCGCTTTACACGAAAAATGAATACTGCAACACGTTTGAAACAAAACAAATTAATTTAAGAAAAATATATTTTGATGTCATACAGCAAGTTTTAATATTAAATATACAACGCATCCTTTTTAAGAATTAATTTGATTAATTTTAGATGACATACAAAAGTCTTCTTTACTCAATTTTTATTTGATCGAGTTGCCTAAACTTATCCTACATAATACAATGTAACGTTCACATTTATTAGAATATGGACAATAAACATCCGAGTGCCATAAGATTTAAAACTTAAAAAGTGTACTCTATCTAAAGTCCACTTTTACATTGAGTACCTTGAGACTTTTTATGACCGACGTCTTTTAACCTTAAACTTGACAGAAATAATAATAAATTCTCATAAACGACTAAACTATATTTTTGACATGGATATGTCCTTTGGCTTGGGGACATTAAGAAAATGCTAAAATGACGCTGAACGCTACCGAGGAAAATGTGTGCGTGTGGCGCGATTAAGCGGATGTTTTGTGAATGAAACAGCTGATAAATAATTTTTAATGTCTGGCTAAAAATTAGAGATATGCGATTAGAGATATTATAGATAAGATATAAAATGTACGATATTGTAGATACAAAATGTAGAGATATAATATTAGAAATAAAATATGAGAGATAAGAAACGAGACATATCCATATAATAAATACCTCTTTAAAAAGAAAACAAAATGTAACTAATTAATAATATTTTTATAAAGTTTTAAGTATTTTACTATGAGGAACTTTTATTCTTTATTTATGATAATTAAAAAATGTATTTAATAAAAAATAAAATTAACCCCATTACTTATTACATTATTTTTTTTTTATAACTGTTAACATTAAAATTTTATTTTAAAAAATGACACATGTTCGCATTTTTTTTTTCTATTTTAATGTATGAAAGTTTTCTATATATGTATATAAAAAAAACCGGTACTTCTTATGCCAACGCAAACGTACGCTAACATCATGCGATGCTGCAGACGTTGACCGGACATCAAACCCACAATTAAATGTTTTCACAATTTTGTTTTTTTGATACTTTGATTTAACATTATATTGATAAAAGGTAGATACGGTTTTAAAATAATATATTATTATATAAACAAGCAGTTCCTAATATAAGTTAAATAATAGCGAAACGCTAACATCGATACCACTGATGGGTTTATGGAGGAGGATAACATAATTACAAAAGTTTTAAAGTTTTGTTTAAGAAAAAAAAAATGGTAATAAAAATAACCTTACTCATAATTATTGTCGACTTCCTTCTTTACCAAACACTTATTTGTTGTAGAAATTTCATTGTTTATGAACTGCATATCGAACGGTTTGTTTTCATTGACTTCAAACGATTTTTCCAACAACTCTTCTTTTGTTTCATCATTTTCAGGTTTAATTTTCAATATATTAAACCGCTTTAAAACTCTATAATTGACATTAAACATTAGTTGTATTTCTGTGCTATATATGCATAGAGGATTAGTAGGACAACTAAATTCACAATTTTAATTATTTTATTTAGTAACAAATATAGTCTACTAATGATATAATAAAGATAATTTAGTATACATTCTAAATGTATATTCTAATAGTAAAAAACATAAATTTTAATATATAGTTTTTGTAATAAAAAATGACACTTATTCGCATTTTTTATTAACTTAATGAAAGAATGAAAAATAATTGTAAAAATGTTTTCTATATATTTATATAAATAACTCGGTAAGTATCGTACAAAACGTACGCTAACATAATGTGGTGCTGCAGACAACACACTCACAAATAAAATGTTTACAATTTTGTTTTTTTAAATATTTTAATAGATCTCTATATGGATAAGAGGTAGATGTAGTTTTAAATCAATCAATCTATTATTAAATGAACAAATGGTTCCTAATATAAGTTTAATGTTAGCGAAACGCTTATATTGATACCATCAGGCACAAGTTTTAATACTTTTGTTCAAGATAAAATAAATGGTAATAAATACGCCTTACTCATAAGTATCATCGAATTCATTCTTAACCAAATAATCCTCTACTATAGATATTTCATTGTTTTTGAACAGCACATCAAACGGTTTTGGTTCAACGGAGTATTCTTCTGCATCGTCATTTTCAGGTTTAATATTCAACATATTTTACCGTTTCAAAACTCTGTAATTGACATTGAACTTTAGTTGTTTTTCTGTACCACTTATGCAAAGAGGTTTAAATAGGACTACTAAATTGCAGTTTTATTTATTTTATTAAGTAACAAATAAAGTAATAATAATAATATAGTAAAGAATAATTTAGTTTACATTACTTGTAAAAAACCACTGAGTTTTCAGTAGTATATTTTGTTTGTTTAAACATTTAAATCTTAATTTTAATTTACTCGAATTAGATGAATAACACAAAGCTACAAGCATGGCTTATAGGTAAGAAGCTAACACAATAAAGATCAAAGCTAGACGATTGGCCATTTTGCCGACTAGATTACTTTAAAATGGTGTTGATCCTATATTACTCTACTCAACTCCGGATGAACAATAAGTAACAAGCTACCAAATAAATTATGATTCTTTTTATTCAAAAGCAGTGTTTTATGCCCGCGGGAGACAGTAAACACGGCAATAATGTATATAAATTAGAAATACAAAACAATAGATACTCACACAATGTAGAACCGTAAACCGCCTTCCAGAGCAGCTAATAAAAACTTATAATAAATTATTGACATGCAAGAAAAAACACAATTGTAACGAAATAACGAAACACGACGCAATACTTAAGGTATTTATCGCAGAATTCGACCAAGTTATTATGATTGAAATCTAGAGATGTTCACGAATCGGACCCGTGGCACCAATACTGCAAACAAATTGGCAGTTTTATTTATTTAAATATAACAGCTTGTATATTTACCTAACGTGTACAGCACAAAGTTATTAACAGAATGTCTGCTTGGAAAAAAGACGCCAAGCGTGTAGACGAAGTCGTGTGAGATTATCGAATGGCGGACCAAAAATGGCTGCGGCATCGTCCTTACGCTTCTCCCGGCGCAGGTGGGGGTACGGTGGGTAGTGGTACCAACAATCATCACATTAGATGTGATTCCAATGAAAACTGAATGACAACGCAGAAATTATATGGACAGATAGTGTGTGTTTGTGTGATAACAAGTGATTGCCACATATGGAGGTACTTTGTAGCGTGGAGGTAAACGGTCTTGCAATTTAGGAGGCAAAGAAATAAAATGCGATTTCGCAATATGCCGGATTATATTACTTTTGGTTATAAACCTCCTTTGACATATATTGCAGTCGAACCGCACGTATTTTGTGTATGTTTTTCTCAGAATCGTTTTCTATAGTTTTGTTCAAACTGCAATCCATGGTTTTTGTTTTGTTTGAGGTATCGGTCGCTTTACACGGAAAATGAATACTGCAACATGTATGGAATATAATAGATTAATTTAAGACAAATATATTTTGATATTATACAGCAAGTATTAATATTACTAATATTAAATGTACAACGCATCATTTTTAAGAATTAATTTTATTGATTTTACATGACATACAATAATCTACTATTAAGGCAATTTTATTTGATTGAGTAGCCTAAACTTATCCTATAAAATACAATGTAACGTTCACATTTGTTAAAATATGGATAATAAACGTCCGAATAACATAAGATTTGAAACTTAAAAAGTGTACTTTATCTAAAGTCCACTTTTACATTGAGTACCTTAAGACATTTAAATGACCGACGTCTTTTAACCCTTAACTCGGCAGAAATAAAAATTTCTGATAAATAATTTTTAATGTCTGGCTAAAAATTAGAGATATTATAGATAAGATATAAAATATACGATATTGTAGATACAAAATGTAGAGATATAATATTAGAAATAAAATATGAGAGATAAGAAACGAGACATATCCATATAATAAATACCTCTTTGAAAAGAAAACAAAATGTAACTAATTAATAATATTTTTATAAAGTTTTAAGTATTTTACTATGAGGACATTACTTATAGTCTATTTCATTAAAATTTTCCATCAACTTTTAATTTTTATTTATGATAATAAAAAATGTATTTAATAAAAATTAAACAAACCCTATTACTTATTACATTTTTTTTTTTTATAACTATTAACATTAAGTAAACATTAGTAACATTATTTTAAAAAATCACACCTGTTCGCATTTTTTTCCTATTTTAATGTAGGAATGTTTTCTATATATGTATATAAATAAACACGGTAAGTCGCATGCAAACGCAAGCGTAAGCTAACATTATGGGATACTGCAGACGTCGACCGGTCATCATACCCACAAATAAATAACAATTTTTTTTTGTTTTGATACTTTGATTGAACATTATATTGATAAGAGGTAGATGCGGTTTTAAAATAATATATTATTATATGAACAAGTGGTTACTAATATAAGTTTCATAATAGCGAAATGCTAACATCGATACCAATGATGGGTTTATGGAGGATGATAACATAATTACAAAAGTTTTAAAGTTTTATTTAAGAAAAAAAAAATGGTAATAAAAATAACCTTACTCATAATTATTGTCGACTTCATTCTTTACCAAACACTTATTTGTTGTAGAAATTTCATTGTTTATGAATTGCATATCAAACGGTTTAGTTTTAATGACTTCAAACGATTTTTCCAACAATTCTTCTTCTGTTTCATAATTTTCAGGTTTAATTTTCAATATATTAAACCGCTTCAAAACTCTATAATTGACATTTAACATTAGTTGTATTTCTGTGCTATATATGCATAGAGGATTAGTAGGACGACTAAATTGTACAATTTTAGCTATTTTATTTAGTAACAAATATAGTAATAATAATGATATAACAAAGAAGACAGCTTACTGACTAAGTGCCTGAAGCTTGAACATGATAAAAAAGAATAATTTAGTTTACATTATTTTGAAAATAAAAACCAACCAATTTTTCAGTGGTAAATTTTTACATGATCAAATTCTAACAGCTGAATTGAATATATTTGGGTTTTATACTGTGTTTCATTTACCAACTTGTCAGTTTGGTGTTTATTGTTGGACATATCATAATGCGAATCACTACAGCGGACTACAGCATTACAAAAGCTTTTATGTTTTATTTAGTAAACACAAAATATTAATACAAATAGCCTTACTCATAAGTATTGTCGACTTCATTCTTCACCAAATACTCCTCTGTTGTAGATATTTCATTGTTTTCAAACAGCTCATCCAACGGTTTTGTTTCAACGGCTCCAAAAGTTGTTTCAAAGAAGTGTTTTTCTGTTTCATCAATTTCATCTTTAATTTTCAACATATTATACCGCTTCAAAACTATAATTGACATTTAACACAAGTGTTATTTCTGTATCGTATATCCATATAGGTTAAATAGGACAAATAAATTGCACAATTTAAACTATTTTATTAAGTAACAAATAAAGTAAGATTAATAACCCAAAGCTACAAGCATGAATTGCAGGTAAGAAGCTAACACAATAAAGATCAAAGCTAGACGATTGCCCATTTTGCCGATTAGATTAATTTAAAATTGTGTTGATCCCTTATCACTCTAATCAACTCCGGATAAATAATAAGTAATATACAACCACATATCAATTATGATTCTTTTTATTCACAAGCAGTGTTTTAAGTCCTCGGAAGACAATAAACACGGCAATGATGTATATAAATTAGAAATACAAAACAATAGGTACTCACACAACGTAGAACCGTAATCCGCGTTCCAGGGCTGCTACTGAAAACTTATAATAAACTATTGACATGCAAGACAAAACTCAATTGTAACGCAACTTGAAACGAAATAAAGACACACAACGCAGTTCGTTAATTGTTTAACACAGAATTCGACCAAGTAATTATGATTAAAATCTAGATATTCTCACGAAGCGGGGCCGTGGCGACAATACAGAAAACCAATTGTACCTAGGGCGCTCAATCTAATTGTTTCACTAGTTTGATTCACAGAACTTCAGCAGAGTGTACAAATTTTAATCTTAATTAAAAATCAAAACTTTTATTTCAATTGTGATTTTAATGCAAACTGCACAGTGCACGATACAACGCAGAAATTGTATGGACAGATTTGTGATAGTGTGCGTTTGTTTGATAACGAGTGATTGCCACAGATGGAGGTACTTTGTAGCGTGAAGGTAAACTGTCGTGCATTTTCGGAGGCAAATAAATTAAATTCCAAACTCTTGTATCAAAGCTTATTAAAAGAAATAACACAATAAAACCTTTTTTTTTCAAATGCTTCTATATTTTACGATTTAAAACACTAAACAATTATACTAAATTTCTAAAAGTGTTTAACCATTAGACTGTATTAGTCTTAGTGAAATATACTTTTCATTTTAACTACATTGTCTTAAACGAGCCTCAACAAGGCGGAGTAATTTAACAACCCGTCAAATTAAATATGTCACAATCAAAGAGGCGGATAGCCGATGTCTTAGACGAACATGTTTAGCCACGTCAAAATGGTGCATGCCCAAACAAAAGTGGCACTTACGAATAGTTCTTTAAACATAGACGATATTTGACGAACACTTAAACAGTTTGTTCATTATGGTCATATAATTTATCCATGTACATAAATCATTTAAAATTCCAATATTTAATAATTATTTGAAAAAGATGTTTATAAAAAAAAAGTCTCAATATAAAACTAATGTTATTACTCTCAAACATGGTATTATGTTTTCTTGGGAACTAATCACACAAATATATTGAACAAAATTATTTTTACTAATTATTTAATAATAAACGTATATATTGAAGTAGGCATATTCTCCTTACTTTCCCGAATGACATTTATTAATAATGGTCAGGTTCAATCTTAATAATTCTTCGAATTAAAAAAACGAAAAACTTATTCTAAAAATATGAATGAAACTAACATAATGTAATCATAATTGACGAAATAATAAAATATTTTATTTTGATTTTAAACACGGTTCGCATAATTCAACGCTCAAAAATTAACAAATATTTTAAATTAAAAATCAATTTTAAAATACAAATTAACATATATTATAAACCATTCTCTTCAAAACCATCTGTAACTAAAAAGACTACTAACATTTTATAATAAAAAATAAGAATAGTAACAAAATTTTTTAGCATTTTGTGTGTGTAGATTATGAAAATTAAAAAATACATTATAAAAATATTAATACTAAATAATTCATGTGATCCGTCGAAAAAATAAATTAAAAACTAATACTTATGTTATTGATCTGTTAAACGATAGTAATAAATTAAATATTATAAGAAAACTAATAAAAGTATACTAAATCTGAAATAAATCGTAAGTAAAAAAAATTGCAAAATAATAACAAATCGATTTTGAAAAACTGCCAAATAGTCACGTAAGGTTTATGAAACTATGAGCCGTGTGCTTTTGCTTGATGCCTTTTGAGAGTATCTTGGCGACCATATGATTTGTCACAGGCTGAGCATTTGTATCGTACCCCACC